CAGCAAGAAGCTGGGACTCAAACCCCGGTACTCTGACATGGGATGGTGTCTGCCCCCATCTTGCTCCTCCCTGGATCACTCTGTCTGGGGAAAGCTACCTGCAATGTAACAAAGACGATCAGGTGCCCTGTGGAGAAGTCCCCATGGCCAGAAAGTGAGGCCTTCTGCCAAACAGCAGGACTAACTTGCCAGCCATGGGAGCGACCCATCCCAGAGCCAATCCTCCCACCCCAGTCAGGCCTACAGGCCCACTCCTGCAATGCTGATGTTTCTTGAGAAAGCCTAGGGCTCCCCGTGTCTACCTCACCACGTAGGCGGGCAGGGCACAGAGACCCACTGTCCCATGGCCATCTGAGATCGTGGTCCCGTAACCTACACCTTGCACAATCCTCTTTCCTCGTCTCCCTCACTTCGTGCTCCTTCCACCTTGGGTGGCCAGTTCTCATAAAACGCTTTCCTGAAACAGATCTGCAGGGCAGTGCTGGGGAGGCAGAGGCAGCGGCCTGACAGTCCCGGGGAGGAGGGAAAAACAGCAGCTCCTGTAGACGCGGTCTGGCCACGGCGGAGTTTTCACAGGAGTCGTCAGAGAGGGCTTTGCAACCACCAGCCTCCCGGCAGGGGCACAGCCAGCAGTGCACAGTACCAGCAAATGAGCCAGACGAAGGGGTACAGGCTCCGGTGAGGGGAGCGACGCCTCCACGGCCACCTAGGAGAGGCTGCGGGAGCAAGAGCGGCCATCGCTATGCTAGGGGCAGAAGAGCACCCACCCACGTGGAGAGAGGCAAGCTCAGTGCAAGAACCAGAGCTGGGAGACTGTCCGGAAGAATACAAAACTAACAGAGCAAAGTCAAGTAACGAGAAACCTGAACGCGACAAAGCAAAAATCATGACAGAGAATTAGCAGTATAAATGATAATAAGTTCCCAGGCAGGGCTGAGCACTTGGGTTGGGATGGCGTAAGGATACCACGTAGAGGCTTGCATCCTGTGATGAAGTGGCGGGGTTCAAGTCCCAGCCACACTTGCAACTCCACCTTCCTGCTAACACACACCCTGCCAGCCAGCAGGTCCCTACACTCCTGTGGGAGACTTGGATCAAGTTCTGGGCTCCTGGCTTCAGCCTGGCCCCACACCAGCTGTCATAGGCATTTGGGGAATGAACCAGCAGACAGAAGATCTCTCTCTCTCTCTCTCTGTCCCTCTCCTGTGTTACTGCTTTTCAAATTAAAAAAATAAGTTTTTTTTCTTGTAAGATTGATTTTTATTTATTTGAAAGGCAAAGTTACAGAGAGAGAGAGAGAGAGCATGCTTCCATCCACTGGTTCAGTCCTCAGATGGCCGCAACAGTCAGAGCTAGGTCAGGCTGAAGCCAGGAGCCACGAGCTTCTTCTGGGCCTCCCACATGGGTGCAGGGACCCAAGCACTTGGGCCATCTTCTACTGCTTTCCCAGGTGCATTAGCAGGGAGCTGGATTGGAAATGGAGCACCGGTGCCCATACGGGCTGCCAGCACTGCAGACAGTGGCTTAACCCACTATACCACAGCACCAGCCCCAAAATAAAAGTTTTTTTAAGAAAAAAAAAAAAAAAAGGAAATATACCAGTAGAAAGGAAAGGTTCAGAAACATTCAAATATCTACACTTATAGTGTTTTAGTATACTGATAGAGTCAGAACTTCAATTTTTTTAAACATCTATTTTTTAAAACATGTATTCAACAGGACTGGCAATGTGACACAGAATATTGCCACTGCCTGAGACGCCAGCGTTCCCAGAGGGCACGTTCGAATCCCAGCTGCCCCACTTCCAATCCAGCTCCCTGCTAATGTGCCTGAGAAGCAGCAGAAGATGGTCTGAGTACTCAGAACTCTGCCATCCACTCAGGAGACCCAGGTGGAATTCCAGGCTCTTGGCTTTGGCCTGGCCCAGCCCCAGCCTGAGGCCATTTGGGGAATAAATCAGTGGCTGGAAGATTCTCTCTCACTCTCTCCTTGCCTCTCTCTCTCACTCTATAACTCTGCCTTTCAAATTAATAAATTAATCTTAAAAGTATTCAAGAGGCACAGACAGAAACAGACAGATTCTATCCAATGGTTCACTCCACAAATGCCTGCGATAGCTAGCTGGGACTGGGGTCAAAGCCAGGAGCCAGGAACTCAACCCAGGTCTCCCATGTAGGCAGCAGGAATCTACCTACCTGAGTCATCTCACTACTACCTCAAAGGGCCTGCATTGGCAGCAAGAGTGGAATCGCAAGCCGGAGCCAGGAATAAAACCCAGGCACGCTAGACATGGGATGCAGGCAGCTTAACCGGCAGCTTAATTTAGGACACATACCCACTCCACAGTTTCAGTTAATAAGGCAAAAGGTGACCAACTTACTAAGTGAAATCTACATTATTATGAGTGAGGTTATCTATTTGTTAAAAAAGACACACTATATAAAAATGTACTTGAGCATAAAACACAAAGCAAGGACACAAGCAATAACATACTAAGTCTGTTGACAAAAAGGTAGGAAGTCTCCTGGCTGGATTTAAAAATTGAGGCACATGGGACTTAAAAAGGAGATACTTAAAACTAAACAGCAATAAAAATTAATTCGTTACTGACTTCCCAATGCCAAGTCCTAGACATGTGGGAGAAAACAGTGACAAAACACTGTCCTCACCCACCCCCAGTCTGCAAGAGGATTAATTCACTCACAAGGGCAAATGGACAATAAACAGTTAACATAACTGCAGAGTATGTTGTTGGAAGAGAAGCACTATATTAAAAATACACAGGGTTGGGGGGTAGCACTGTGGCACAACAGGTTAAAGCCCCAACCTGCAGCACTGGCATCCCATATTGTTTGAGTCCTGGCTGCTCCTCTTCCAATCCAGCTCTCTGCTATGGCCTGGGAAAGCAGTAGAGGATGGACCAAGTCCTTGGGCCCCTGCCACCTGTGTAGGAGACCTGGAAGAAGCTCCTGGCTTCTGGCTTCAGATCAGCTCAGCTCTGGCTAATGCAATCATTTGGGAAGTGAACCAGTGGAATGGAAGACTCTCTCTCTCTCTGCTTCTCCTTCTCTATGTAACTCTGACTTTCAAATAAATAAAATAATTATTTAAGAAATAAATAAATAATAAATAAAAATACACAGAGGAGCAAGAGAAGGGTGGGAGGGGGTAGACCTCACCACACATGGTCCTGAGAAGGGCAGGTGAGCTCTGGGGGGAACATGCACCCCAGGACCAGGCACGTTTGTCACAAGAACGAAGGTGACCTTGTATCTGGTATGTTGCTAGAATAGCAAGACGTGCAAGAGCCTGGGAAGCAGATGAAGTCAGAAGTCTTGGGTCAGGGCCAGCGCTGTGGTGCTGTGAGTTAAGCCACCATCTGCGGCACTGGCATCCCCTATGGGCTGGTTCAAGTTCCAACTGTTCCACTTCCAACCCAGCTCCCTGCAAATGCACCTGGGAAAACAGAAGATGGCCCAAATGCTTGAGCCCTTTCACCCAAGTGGGAGACACGGATGAAGCTCCTGGCTTCTGGTTTCAGCGGGGCCCAGCCCCAGCCATTGTGGACATTTGGGGAGTGAACAAATGGATGGAAGATCTCCCTCTCTATCTCTCCTTTTCTCGCTCTCTAACTCTCCCAAATAAATGAAAAATATATATATATATAAAAAAAAAAAGAACGAACTCTGTCCTGAATTCTGCTGCACAGAGGCGTGAGCGGAGTGATCTGACTCACGTCCACCAAGGGCACTGTGCATGCTAAGCCTGGGCCGGGGCACGGCAGCGAGACCTGCTCTGTGGCTTGCTGCAATGCAAGCAACACATGCCATGAGATGACGCAGGGCCCAGGCTTTCTGCCGACAAGTATGATTCGGTGCACCAGAGAAAACAGATCAAAGGTGACTCCAAGGGGTGTGCCATCAGACCACTTCAGCACAGACAGGCCAGGAGACCTTAGTCGTGATGAACGTGGGCCTGTTAAATACTCAAGCCGAGATGCAGAGTGGACATGTAGACACGTGCACCCCAAGTGCAGAGAGAGACCTGTGATGGAGACTACCAGCAATGGGCAGGCCCCAGAGTAGTGATGAGACCACCCTGCCGGGGGGGGGGGGGGGGGCTTCAGACAGAGAAAGAACGAGGACCAAGGGTTGCACCCCGGGGTACCCAAGCAGTCAGAGGTAGGAAGGAAAGGAGAAGCCAGCAGCAAGCCATGAGACAGAAGGCAAAAGTTCAGAGTCAGGTGGGTGTCATGACTCAGAAGGAAAAAGCAATCGGCAGCTTTGCCACGAGAGGGCGCTGCCGACCTCTGCAGACTAAAAGGCTGAGGGGCGACGGGAGTGAAGGCTTCTAGTTCCCGGGGAGATGAGGATCTCTGGCTCTCTCTGCCCCCTGGAGCAAAGTGAGGCCACTCTGTGTGCACTGTAGCTTTGCCCCGGAATAAACACCACCTACCACCTACTTTGGGGTGACAAACGGCAAACCATGAAAAAAAAACTCACGTCATTTTCTAAAGTGTAATTTCCCTAAGATGAGGAAAGTCTATAGTTTGAAATATTTTTGTAAAAAAAATTCAGACTCTTTATAATTTCACTGATGACTTTTTTTAAATTTTTTAATTTATCTGAGAGACAGAATTACAGAGAGAGAGAGAGAGAGAGAGAGAGAGAGATTGAATCTCGTATCCACTGGCTCACTCCTCAAATGGCCATGATGTCCAGAGCTGGGCCAATCCAAAGCCAGTGGCCAGGAGCTTCATCTGGATCTCCCACGTGGGTGCAGGGGCCCAAGGAATAGGGCCACCTTCTACTGCTTTCCCAGGCCTTAGTAGAGAACTGGATCGTAAGTGGAACAGCCAGGACTAGAACCGGCACCCATATGGGATGCCGGAGCTTCAGGCCAGGGCTTTAAAACACTGCGCCACAGCACCGGCCCCATCAATCAATCTTTAAAAAAAAAAAAGTAGCGGCACAGCGGATTAAGCTGCTACCCGCTAATGCCAACATACCAAACAGGTGCCAGTTCAAGCCCCGGCTGCTCCACTTCCAATCCAGGTCCCTGCTAATTTACCTGGGAAGGTGGCAGAAAATGGCCCAGGTGTTTGGGGCCCTGCCACCCATGTGGGAGATCTAGATGGAGTTCCTGGCTCCTGACTGCTACAGCCATTTGGGCAGCACTATCTCCTTCTCTGTCTTTGTTACCCGCCTTTCAAATAAGTAAATAAAAGTTTAAAAAAAAACATAATAATATGTTGTTTGGGGTGCCCATATTTCCTGTTGGAGTGCCAGGTTCGAGTCCCGGCCCCTCCACTTTCCTCTGCTAACGTGCACTCTGGCAGGGCAAAGGCTGGCTGCTCAGGTACCAGAGTTCCTGCCATGCATGTGGACCCTCAGGTTGAGTTGCATCCGGACTCCCGGCTTCTGCTTAGCCAACTCCTGACTATTGCAGGCATCTGGGAATAAACTAGCAGATGAATAAACTCTGTTTCTCTGTCTTTCAAAAAACTAAATCTTTTCTTAAAAGATTTAAATAGGGCCGGCGCCACGGCTCACTAGGCTAATCCTCCACCTGCGACGCCGGCACACCGGGTTCTAGTCCCGGTCGGGGCACCGGATTCTGTCCCAGTTGCTCCTCTTCTAGGCCAGCTCTCTGCTGTGGCCAGGGAGTGCAGTGGAGGATGGCCCAAGTACTTGGGCCCTGCACCCCATGGGAGACCAGGATATGCACCTGGCTCCTGCCTTTGGATCAGCGCGGTGCGCGGCCGTTGCAGCCATTGGAGGGTGAACCAACGGCAAAAGGAAGACCTTTCTCTCTGTCTCTCTCACTGTCCACTCTGCCTGTCAAAAAAAAAAAAGATTTAAATAGGAGGAGCTGACACAATGGCGCAGTGGGTTAAAGCCCTGGCCTGTAGTGCCAGCATCCCATACGGGCGCCAGTTCGAATCCCAGCTACTCCTCTTCCAATCCAGCTTTCTGCTATGGCCTGGGAAAGCAGAAGACGACCCAAGTCTTTGGCCCCCTGCACCCACGTGGGAGACTCGGAAGAAGCTCCTGGATCCTGGCTTCGGATCGGCGCAGCTCCGGCCGTTGCGGCCATCTAGGGAGTGAACCAGTGGATGGAAGACCTCTCTCTGTCTCTACCTCTATATGTAACTCTGTCTTTCAAATAAATAAAATAAATCTTAAAGAAATTTAAATAGGAAACAAATTCCATATAATACTGTTGTATAGGTAAAAAAATCTAAATTAATTCACATATACAGTATTAAAATTAATAAACAGCAAGGTCACTGGATACAAGTTCAATATACAAAATCCAACTCTATGTCTATATACCAGCAGCATCCAAATAGGATGAAAAATTTCCAAATATCTAGGGAAAAAAACTATCGAAGTAAGTACAAAAGACCCAGACAGAAAATCATGAAACATGCCTGAAAAAAATTAAAGATGTAAGTTAATTAAGAAAAATACCATGTTTATAAGTTCAGAGAGGTAGATTTTTTTTTTTTTTTAAGATTTATTCATTTGTTTGAAAGGCAAGAGTTACAGAGAGGCAGAGAGGTCTTCCATCCACTGGTTCACTCACTCCCCAGATGGCTGCAACAGCCAGAGCTGCACCAATCCGAAGCCAGGAGTGAGGAGCTTCTTCTGGGTCTCCCAAGTGGGTGCAGGACCCAAGCACTTGGGCCATCCTCCACTGCCCTCCAGGGCCACAGCAGAGAGCTGGATCAGAAGTAGAGCAGCCAGAACTCGAATTGGTGCCCATATGGGATGCTGGCACTGCAGGTGGCAGCTTTACCCGCTACACCACAGAGAGGTAGTATTAATATGACTTTTCTAACAAATCAATCCAGAGATTTAATTCAATATCAAATTCTAGCAGATTGGAGGTTGGGGGAAGGAAGATGATGCCAAAATTTACACCATAATACAAAGGACTGAGAGCAGCAATCTTGAAGAACAAAGGTGGGGAATTTACATTCCCACACAGGAACACTTTATAAAGCTAGGGGAACCAAGGCTCACTGGCATTAACACGAGGCCAAAGGGAAAACTGCAATAAAACTGAGGATCCAAAGAGATACTCATATAAATGGCTACCTGCTTCTCAATCAAAACAGCACTGCAATTCTGTTGGGAACAGAAGGTCTTTTCAATAAATGGAACTGCAAGAGCTGGTGTGGCACAGCTGGTGTGGTCGCTGCTTGCAACGCCACCATCCCCTAGGAGAGGCCTGGTTCAAGTGTCAGCTACTCTGCTTTTGATCCAACTTCTTGCTAATATGCATTTCCAGGCATAGGAAGATGGCAAAAGTAACTGGGCCCTGGCCACCATGCAGGAGTCCAGGAGAAGTTCCTGGCTCCTGGTTTCAGCCTGGCCTGGCCCAACCCCAGCTGTTGCGGCCATTGAGGGAGTGAACCACTGGATGGAAGATCTTCCACTGCTTTTCAAATAACTAAATACATTTTTAAAAAATGTGTGGGTAAGTATATGTGTTAAATAATTTTAAATGGACTAAAACAATTCAAGATTTTATAAGAAAACGAGGGGTGGGGCCGGTGATGTGGCATAGCAGGTTAAAGCCTTGGCCTGAAGTCCTGGCATCCCATATGGGCGCCAGTTCTAGTCCAGCTGCTCCACTTCCAATCCAGCTCTCTGCTGTGGCCTGGGATAGCAGTAGAAGATGCCCCGAGTCCTTTGGCCCCTGCACCCACGTGGGATACCTGGAAGAAGCTCCTGGCTCCTGGTTTCAGATCGGCGCAGCTCTGGCCATTGCAGCCATCTGGAGAGTGAACCAGCAGATGGAAGACCACTTTCTCTGTCTCTGTCTCTCTCTGGAACTCTGTCTTTCAAATACATACAAATCTAAAAAAGAAAAGAAAGAAAACAAGGGGTAGGCATTGTGGGTTAAGCCACGCCTGATATACCCGCACCTGTATTAGAGTGCCTGGTCTGTATCAGAGTGCTCTGTTCAAGTCCTACTCTGATTATGATCTGGCTTCTTGCTAATGTGCCTGCGAACACAGTAGATAATGGCCCAAGCACATAGGTTCCTGACACCCACATGTGAGACCCGGATGCAGGCTTAGGCCTAGGCTGCACTGGCTGTTGCAGTCTTTTGGGGAATGAACCAGCAGATGGAAAATCTCTGTCCCTTCCACACTCTCTGTAACTCTGCCTTTCAAACAAAGAAGAAAACGTAAGAAAATTCCTTTACATCCTTGGTATAGGCAAATATGTTTCTAAACAGGGCACAAAATTTACTAACCGTTAAAGAAAACATTAATAAACTATACCTCATTAAAATGCAGGAGGAGGAGCTGGCAGGCTCGGAACATAAAGAAACAATACAGAGGCACCAGTGTTGTGGTACAGCAGGTTCAGCCACCACCTGCAACGCCAGCATCCCACAGGAGTGCTGGGTCACATCCCAGCTGCTCCACTTCCAGTCCAGCTCCCTGCCACTGTGCCTGAGAAAGCAGTGGATGGTGGCCCAACTGCTTGGGCCCCTGCCACCCACATGGGAGACCCTGATGGAGTTCCAGACTCTTGGCTTTGGCCTGGCCCAGCCCTGGCCAGTGCCAGGGGACTAAACGTGAGAAGGCAACTAGCAGATAGAACCTCTCTCTCTCTCTCTCTCTTTCTCTCTTTTTCTAACTTTGCCTTTCAAGTGAATAAAATAAATGTTTTTAAAAACTGATAAGGGGGCCAGCGCTGTGGCTCACTTGGCTAATCCTCCACCTGCGGCACCGGCAACCCCGGGTTCTAGTCCCAGTTGGGGCACCGGGTTCTAGTCCCAGTTGCTCCTCTTCAAGTCCAACTCTTTGTGGTGGCCCGGAAAGGCAGTGGAGGATGGCCCAAGTGCTTGGGTCCCTGCACCCATATGGGAGACCAGGAAGAAGCACCTGACTCCTGGCTTCAGATCTACACAGCACCAGCCATGGTGGCCATTAGGAGAGTGAACCAACGGAAGGAAGACCTTTCTCTCTGTCTCTCTCTCACTGTCTAACTCTCTCTGTGTGTCTCTCTCTCACTGTCTAACTCTGCCTGGCAAAAAATTTAAAAAAGAAAATTATAAGGGAGGAACTAGCACTGTGGCATAGTGGGTAAAGTCACTGCCTGCAACACTGGCATCCCATATGGTGTTGGGCACCAGCTGGAGTTCTGGCTGCTCCACTTCCGATCCAGCTCCCTGCTAATGTGCTTGGGAAAGCAGTAGAAGATGGCCCAAGTCCTTGGGCCCCTGCACCCGTGTGGGAGACCTGGAGGAAGCTCCTGGCTCCTGGCTTCGGATAAGCCCAACTCTGGCCATTGCGGCCATCTGGGGAGTGAACCAGCAACGGAAGATCTGTGTGTATGTATGTGTGTATGTGTGTGTGTGTGTGTGTATCCCTCTAACTCTTTCAAGAAAATAAATCTTAAAAAAAAAAAAAAAAAAACTGATAAGGAAATGAGATGCTAGTTACTGTGATTTGATCATTACCTGATGTGTAAATGTCGAGAGATCACCTTGTACCACATGCTAACCAATATTTAAATTATGAAAAAAGTCAAAAGAAACTTCAGACTCAAAGAAGGCATCTGCTGGACATTTATCTGACAAAGGACTCACAGCTAGAGGAGAAAGAATTCCTACAAGCTAATACGGCAGAGATAAACTACTGATCTTATTTATTAAGAAAAAAGACTAGAATATGCACAGCAAAAACAAAAAGATAAAAATTGTCAGAAAATCTAAGATGCTCAACATGATCAGCCATTAGAAAAATGCAAATTAAAAATCCACAAGCGGGGGAGCGCTGTGACGTAGCAGGTAAAGCCACCGCCTGCAGTGCTGGCATCCCATATGGGCGCCGATTCAAGTCCCAGCTGCTCCACTTTTTTTTTTTTTTGACAGGTAGAGTTATAGACAGTGAGAGAGAGACAGAGAGAAAGGCCTTCCTTCCATTGGTTCACTCCCCTAATGGCCGCTATGGCTGGCGCTGCTCCAATCCAAAGCCGGGAGCTGGAGTTGGGTACTTCCTCCCAGTCTCCCATGCAGGTGCAGGACCCAAGCACTTGGGCCATCCTCCGCTGCCTTCCCGGGCCACAGCAGAGAGCTGGACTGGAAGAGGAGCAACCAGGACTAGCACCCGCCGTCCCAACCAGGACTAGAACCCAGAGTGCTGGCACCACAGGCAGAGGATTAGCCAAGTGAGCCATGGTGCCGGCCTGCTCCACTTCTGATCCAGCTCTCTGCTATGGCCTGGGAAAGCAGCAGAAGATGGCCCAACAAGGCCAGCGCAGTGGCGTAGTGGGTAGAGCTGCTGCCTGCAGTGCCGGCATCCCATCTGAGCACAGGTTCAAGTCCTGGCTGCTCTACTTCCAATCCAGCTCTCTACTAAGGCCTGGGAAAGCAGTAGAAGATGGCCCAAGTCCTTAGGCCCCTGCACCCACAAGGGAGACCTGGAAGAAGCTCCTGCCTGGCTCCTGGCCTCAGATCAGCACAGCTCCGTCCATTGCAGTCATCTGGGGAGTGAACCAGCAGATGGAAGACCTCTACCTCCCCCCTCCCTCCCCTCCTTCTCTCTCTGTGTAACTCTGACTTTCAAATAAACAAACAAATCTTTAAAAAAATAAAAATAAATAAAAAAAAGATGGCCCGAGTGCTTGGGCCCCTGCCACCCACGTGGGAGAACTGGATGGAGTTGCTGGCTCCTGGTTTTGGCCTAGCCCAGCCCCAGCAATTGCAGTTAACTGGAGAGTAAACCAGCAGATGGACGATCTGTCTCTCCCTCTCTGCATTACTCTTTCAAATAAATTTTGAAAATTAAAAAATAAATAAAACCATAATGAGACACCACTATATTCACCCACTTAATACTAAAAAGACAAAAACATGAGTTGGTATTGTGGCACAGTGGGTTAAGCTGCAGCTTACAACACCAGCCGAGTGCTGGTTCGATTCCTGGCTGCTCTGCTTCTGATCCAGATTCCTACTAATGCACCTGGGAAGGCAACAGATGATGGCCCAAGTCCTTGGGCCCCTGCACCCACGAGGGAGACCCATGTGGGAGACCTGAGCTCCTGGCTTCAGCCTGGCCCAACCTTGGCTGTTGTGACCATTTGGAGAGTGAACCATTGGCTGGAGGATGTCACTCTTTCTGTCTCTCCTCTCTCTGCCGCTCTACCTTCCAAACACACACTACATAAAACACACACACACACACACACACAGAAAATGGAATTAAAAGTTTATTTAAAAAAACCAAAACACCTCTTTCTGTCTCTGTCTCTCCTCCTCTGTCACTTTGCCTTTCAAATAAATAATTTTTTTTTAAGATTTATTTATTTAATTGGGCCAGTGCTGTGGCTCAATAGGCTAATCCTCTGCCTGCGGTGCTGGCACACCGGGTTCTAGTCCCAGTCGGGGCGCCGGATTCTGTCCCGGTTGCCCCTCTTCCAGGCCAGCTCTCTGCTGTGGCCAGGGAGTGTCAGTGGAGGATGGCCCAAGTCCTTGGGCCCTGCACCCCATGGGAGACCAGGATAAGTACCTGGCTCCTGCCTTCGGATCAGCGTGGTGCGCCGGCCGCAGCGTGCCGGCCGCAGCGTGCCGGCCGCAACGGCCATTGGAGGGTGAACCAACGACAAAGGAAGACCTTTCTCTCTGTCTCTCTCTCTCACTGTCCACTCTGCCTGTCAAAAAAATAAATAAAAGATTTATTTATTTATTTGAAAGGCAGAGTTACAGAGAAGCAGAGAGAGAAAGACAGAGAGAGAGAGAAGTCTTCCATCTGCTGGTTCACTCTCCAGTTGGTCATAATGGCCAGAGCTGCGCTGATCCAAAGCCAGGAGCTAGGAGCTTCTTCTGAGTCTCCCACGTGGGTGCAGGAGCCCAAAGCCTTAGGCCATCTTCCACTGCTTTCCCAGTCCATAAACAGAAAGCTGGATCAGAAGTGGAGCAGCCAGGACTTGACCCGGTGCCCATATGGGATGCCGGCACTACAGACGGCAGCTTTACCCCCTATGCCACTAGCACTGGCTCCTAAATAAATAAATCTTTAAAAATAAATAAATAAAAAGCAGAAACATAAAACACCACTAGCAATACCAAGTGACAACTGGGCTGTGATGTGACAGGCCCTCCTCCACAGAAGGATTCTACTATCAAAGTAATTGCGGGGTAGGTATGTAACACACATGCCCCATATTCAAATGGCCTGGTCCATGTCCCAGCCACTCCAGTTCCAATCCAGTTTCTTGCTAATGTGCACACCAGGAGGCAGCAAATGACAGCGCCAGTACTTGGGTCCCTGATGCCCCTATGAGACACCCAGGTGGAGCTCTGGGTTTCTGGTTTCAGCCTAGCCTAGCCCTGGCTGTTGTGGGCATTTGGGGAGTAAACGAGTGAATGGAAGTTCTGTCTCTCTGCCCTTCAAATAAAATGAAAATAAATTTCTTTAAAGATTTTTATTTTTATTTACTTGAAAGGCAGAGTGACAGAGAGAGGGTTGGGGGGAGACAGAGAGATGATCTTCTATCCAATGGTTCATTCCCCCAGTGGCCTCAACAGATGAGGCTGGGCCAGGCCGAAGCCAGGAGCTCAAAATTCTATCCGGGTCTCCCACGCAGGTGGCATGGGCCCAGGTACTTGGGCCATCTTACGCTGCTTTCCCAGGCACATTACCAGAGAGCTGGATAGAAGTGAAGCATCCAGGACTCGAACGGGTACTCTCATATACTTTGCGATAGCACCGGCCCTGGAAATAAATTTAAAAATTAAAAATAAACCTATGTGCTATGACCCATCAGTTGCATTTCTGGGGTTGTATCCCTTAGAATCGAGGGCCACGGGCCGGCGCCGTGGCTCACTAGGCTAATCTAATTCTCCCCTAGCGGCGGCGGGGCCGGGCACCCCGGGTTTCTAGTCCGGTCGGGGCCGCCGGATTCTGTCCCGGTTGCCCTCTTCCAGGCCAGCTCTCTGCTGTGGCCAGGGAGTGCAGTGGAGGATGGCCCAGGTGCTTGGGCCCTGCACCCCATGGGAGACCAGGAAAAGCACCTGGCTCCTGGCTCCTGCCATCGGATCAGCGCGGTGCGCCGGCCGCAGCGCGCCGGCCGCGGCGGCCATTGGAGGGTGAACCAACGGCAAAAGGAAGACCTTTCTCTCTGTCTCTCTCACTGTCCACTCTGCCTGTCAAAAAAAAATAAAATAAAAAAAAAAAAGAATCGAGGGCCACGTACACCAAAAAGCATGCACAAAAATCAAAATCAGAAAGAGCTCATGGGCTGGCACTGTGAAAGCCGCTGCCTGCAGTACTGGCATCCCATATGGGCACTAGTTCGAGACCGGCTGCTTCACTTCTGATCCAGCTCTCTGCTATGGCCTGGGAAAGCAGAAGATGGCCCGAGTCCTGGGGCCCCTGCACCCATGTAGGAGACCTGGAAGAAGCTCCTGGCTCCTGGCTTCACACCAGCCCAGCTCTGGCAGTCACAACCATTTGGGGAGATGAACCAGTGGATGGGAAGACTTCTCTTGTCTCCCTAACTCCACCTTTCACATAAAAATAAATAAAAAATTTTTTGAAAGGAGAAGCAGGGGCTGGCGCCATGGCTCACTTGGTTAATCCTCCGCCTGCAGCACTGGCATCCCATATGGGCACCGGTTCTAGTCCCGGCTGCCCCTCTTCCAGTCCAGCTCTCTGCTGTGGCCCAGGAGTGCAGTGGAGGATGGCCCAAGTGCTTGGGCTCCTGCAGCCGCATGGGAGACCAGAAGGAAGCACCTGGCTCCTGGCTTCAGATCGGAGCGGCACACCGGCCGCAGCACGCCGGCGGTAGCAGCCATTTGTGGGAGTGAACCAACGGAAGGAAGACCTCTCTCTCTGTCTTTCTCTCTCACTGTCTGTAAATGTACCTGTCAAAAAATAAATAAAAATTTTTTAAAAAAAGGAGAAACAGCGCTACATACATTGATAGCAGAATGCACATGGAAAAAAGCATGCTATTGCTACATGTAAACACAGATGATATGACAGACATAGGGTTGAAACAAAGAAGTCAGACATAAAGGAATGTGTGTGTGTGTGTGCGTGTGTGTACGGCATGATTCTATTTATATGAAGTTTAAAACAAAACAAAGCTAATATATGATGACAGAGATCAAAATAATGCTTACCCTCAGGTATGAGTGAGTAAGAGCAGTCTTGGAGATATGCAGAAAATGTCCCTTATCTTGACCTCGGTGATAGCTATCCACGAACAATTTATCAGGCCAAGCACTTGGGATTTGTGCATTAACAACCTGAAAGACAGGAGCCTTCATCACTGCGCAGATGTGCAGGAGCTGGTACAGGGCAGCAGCGAGGGTGAAGACCACGTGTGCACTCAGGCGACAGCCTGGCTGGTGAGAACATTCTACAGGAAATAACGGAGAGGCCTGGCGGTAGCAGGTAACAGCTAAAGTGCTTGGGTCCCTGACGCCTACATGGGAGACTCACATTGAGTTCTGGGCCCCTGGCTTTGGCCTCGCTGAGCCCAGGCTTAGCTGTTGTGGGCATCTGGGAGTGTATCTGTGGACAAATCTTTCTCTCTCTGTTTCTCAAATAAATAAAGTAATTACTGCTCCACTTCCGATCCAGCTCCCTGCTAATGTGCCTGGGGAAGCAGTGGAAGATGGCCCAGGTCCTTGGACCCCTGCACCCAGGTGGGAGACCTGGAAGAAGCTCCTGGCTCCTGGCTTTGGATCAGCTCTGCTCAGGCCATTGCAGCCATCTGGGGAGTGAACCAGCAGATGGAAGACCTCTCTCTCTCTCTCTGCATGTTTGTCTCTCTCTCTCTCTAACTCTGCCTTTCAAATACATAAATGTTTTTTAAAAATCAACAATGAATTAACACAAGAATGGATAGTTTGGGACAAGCATTTAGCCTAGGGTTAAGTTGCCCGCGTCCCATATTGCGGTACCTGGGTTCGATACCCAGCTCCAGCCCCGGCGCCGGACTCCAGCTTCCTGCTAATACAGATGTGGGGAGGCAGCAAGGATGGGTCAAGTACTTGTGAGAGATCTGTACTAAGTTCCCAACTCTACTTCAGCCTGGTGCCGTGCTGGCCATTGCGGGCATCTAAATGGGGAGCGAACCAGCCAGTGGTTTGTCTTGACTCTTTCTCAAATTAAAAAAAAAATAAACACAACTCACCTGCGAGCCAGTCATTTTCCTATGCTCTTGAAGCACCATCTAGAGAACTGGGAAGCGGGGTTGGCACCATGGCACAGTGCGTTAATCCTCCACCTGCAGTGCCGGCATCCCACATGGGCGCCGGTTTGAGTCCCGGCTGCTCCACTTCTGATCCAGCTCTCTGCTATGGCCTGGTGGAGGACCTCTCTCACTGTCTGTAATCCTACCTCTCAAATTAAAAAAATAAATAAATAAAAAGCCGCGTTGGCAGCAGCTGCTGTCTTTGATGGAACTCTTGAGGAAATGCTGCCCCCGGGTGGGCCCCTAGTGGCTGGGGTGCCCTGGACGGTCATCCGTCAGATCCGGCCAATAGGGGATCCAGGAGCTCTCTCCTGCACGCCGGCTTTCCGAATCTACACCATCAGCCTGGAGGAAGCACCTGCGTCTCTCAGAGCCACCCGCGGGGCCGGTTCCTGGAGATCCGAGAACAGCAAGGAACCCGCGGGGCCTAAGCGAAGAGGCGGGGTTTCTTTACTCCAGACTCCTGGGCACACCTGTCAGTCACCTCCCGCTGCCTCCAGCAGCCATGCGCATCTAAGGGGCTGCTGTCCGCCTCTGCGCTAAGCCCTGGGGCGGTCTCCCTCCTCCAGGTGGGCCTCCTGGTTCCCTCCTCAGCCCGGCTAGGTCCCCTTGGTCACTCCCTGTGCCTAGAGTTGGTGTTTTGAACCCAGGACGCACGGGCACTGGGCCATCTGAGGGGACCCCACAGAGCCCCGAGGTAAAAACAGGGGCCCAGGTTGTCGTCTGCACCGACGGCCACGGGAGCGGGGCGTGACGACACAACCAGGGCGTGCACAGAACCGGCTTTCGGGGCGCAGGCGGATGTGCGGAGCGCCCAGGGCGAGCCGTCCCCGCGGCCGCCACCAGGGCGCGCACGTCCTCGGAGCGGGACGGCGCCTCACGTCCTCGGCGGCGCGCCGAAGCGCCGAGCCGCAGCTGCCGGGGCTGACCACCCGAAAGCTGGGCTCCAGGACCCCCGCCCCGCAGCCCCCCAGACCCGGTGGAGCCGACCGCGCCCCGTGCTTGGCGCGCCAAAACCAGGCCGCGCATGCGCGGGAGCACCGCCTCCCTGGTTCCCGCGCAGCGCGCGTCGCGAGCTCCCAAGGCGCCGTTTCCCATCAGGCTCCGCGGCGGGAGCCTCGCCCCGGCGGGCGGCGGGGCTGCGCTGCGTCCGCCGGGCCGACAGGGGGCGCCTCAGGCGTTTCTCCGCGGGCCAGAGCGAGCCAGAGGTCGCCCCCAGGCAAACCTCAAGAAGCAAACCAGATGGCCGTAATCCTGAACCATCCATGCCGAACACGAAAGCTGTCAACGAATAAAATAGACACGACTGAAAGGAGAGAACGGCTGTTACACAGGGCCTCACCCCTTTCAGATGGCCGGCCTTAAAGGCAGAGGGCGTGACAAACACCGGAGGGCCCCCTTAAAATTCCTGCTTCCTCAGGGAGCTCCTGGGCGGGGTAACTGCGCTCTGGCCTTGATTGACCGCAAGCCCCTCCAATCAGCACTTGCCTCGCCAGCGTATGTGCCCGCACCCGCCTACCAGCCTTAAAGGCAAAGCGTCCCTGGCCGGCGTGGGGGAGGCGAGCTGGAGTCCGCGCCCCTGGGTGGCTGGCAGTGTCGGCTCGTGACGCGGCTACTGCAGCGTGTGGTCTCGGACGACGTCTTTTCGTTAAGATAATGTCAGCTCTGTTACGGAAATTTTCAGATCTAACACGTGCGGGATTCCGTCCACACGCGGAAACGCCTCAGCTACAGTCCATGTTTATTCATAGTCTACCATCTTTGCGCGTGTGTGTTTAATGTGTGTGTTAATGTGTGTGTGTTTGCAGTAAAGCCCCAGCGTAAGAACAAACTACTACATGGTAATACCAGGTCACCGCTGGTGAGCTGGACGGTGATTCTGCAAAAGCAGCTAACAGCAAGTCCACAGGCACAGCTCCCGAGTTGTCCCGCGAACGTCTTTATGGAAGTTTTGTGAAAACGTTTGAATCTAAAAAAAATTAATTATAAAATTTTTTATAAATGGATTTTTTAACACCAAGATGCACCAAAATCAACATGTATGAGGACTGTGGAAGTGCAGGCTTGGCAAGACTCACTGGTAATAATAGAGTATTAATTTGTCCATCCGAGTGAGTGTAGACAGAATGCAGTCTTACTATGAATAGAAATTTAAATTCTGTTCTGTTTTTCCTAGCATTTTACAGGCGGTTCTCTACCGGCTGAACTGCGCAGTGCATCAACATCCAATCCTATTAAAAGATCCATATTCGTTGCCGAGTTATCAGTTTTTAGGCACAGCATTAATACTTGATGAATACCCGAGTTAGCTGGTTAAGAAAAAAGGCGGACTTTTAACAACATTAAAATACTTGTAGCACAAGTCAGCAGATCATTCCCAGAGGTCTCCAAGCATACGACAATTTATGAGAGTGACAAGTAATGGAGGTAAAATGCGTGTGCTTCTCAAAGGAAACTATATGTAGTGATAACACTGCCCTCAATTTACCCTCAAGAATATTGTGGAAATCTGTGTTCAAAAGCACTGCGATAGCCGGCGCCGTGGCTCAATAGGCTAATCCTCCACCTTGCGGCGCCGGCACACCGGGTTCTAGTCCCGGTTGGGGCGCCGGATTCTGTCCCGGTTGCCGCTCTTCCAGGCCAGCTCTCTGCTATGGCCAGGGAGTGCAGTGGAGGATGGCCCAGGTGCTTGGGCCCTGCACCCCATGGGAGACCAGGAAAAGCACCTGGCTCCTGGCTCCTGCCAGGATCAGCGCGGTGCGCCGGCTGCAGCGGCGGCCATTGGAGGGTGAACCAACGGCAAAGGAAGACCTTTCTCTCTCTGTCTCTCTCTCTCACTGTCCACTCTGCCTGTCGGAATATACAAACTATACCAGCTAAAAAATACATCAGCACTGCGATAATTTCCTGATGCCACACTTTGGGCATGACACACAACTTTCAGATGCTTCTTCCCATGGTTTTAAACTGGCCGCGTTTCAGTTCCCGAGCAATGGAACGGGCTAAACTCGAGAGGCAGCCCTGCGCTTCGCGCCGCTCTGTGTGCACGAACGGCAGCCCCGCGGTTTCAGTAACAGCAGTCCGAGGCCACGATTCAGATGTCAGCTCACCAGGGCACCGAGTGACCGCCTCAAGTGCAAGCCTGGCTCTCGGCTCTCCAGTCTGGTCACTGCCGATCGCCTCTCCCAAAGACTGTTGCGTAATTCACGCAGAGCCGGCAGCCGCTGCGGACCTGTGCCGGCCGCCTGCCTCCTGGACGTCTGAACCTCCGCACCCCAGCCCCCTCGAGCCTCGTCTCTCACAGTGGCGCCTGCCCCGCCCGGGAGCCCTTTCCCCTCAGATGCCGGCCGAGAGAGCTCATGCTGCCAGGAAAGCTGGCTGCGAGATCCGCCGCACCTGATGACAAGCCCGCCGAGCACTTACTGAAAAGGATTTAACAGTTCTGGATCCATCCCTTGACTACTGTAAGGATTCATAGCCGTGCAAAAGGCTCTCCAAATGGATTCCAGAGATTGGTTTATGGTTATTCATCTTAGTGCAAAAATCTTTGGAATCCATGTCGAGGAGATGCCACAATTTCCTGCAAACTGCATGTTACGAGAAAACTATGCCCCTCGAGGCCGGCGCCGTGGCTCGCTTGGTTAATCCTCCGCCTGCAGCGCCGGCATCCCATACAGGCGCCGGTTCTAGTCCCGGTTGCTCCTGTTCCAGTCCAGCTCTCTGCTGTGGCACGGGAGACCAGTGGAGGATGGCCCAAGTGCTTGGGCCCTGCACCCGCATGGGAGACCAGGAGGAAGCACTTGGTTCCTGGCTTCAGATCAGCGCAGCGCACCAGTCATAGCGGCCATTTCGGGGGTGAACTAACGGAAGGAAGACCTTTCTCTCTGTCTGTCTATAACTCTACCTGTCAAATAAAAAAAAATAATTAAAAAATAAATAAAAATAAAACTATGCCCTGAAGGGTCTCTCTCAAGGACCTCAGCATAAAGCCTCTGCCTCCAGGTCTCAGGCAGAGGGGCAGAATCTTAACTGCCAGCCAGCAGACCCAGCTGGCCTGATGACATTGATCCTGGCCAACCCTTGTGACACCACACTTCCTTTCCCTACCCTCTCATTCTCCCTCTGAAATGTCCAATCTCCTCATGAATGGAGCTGTCAGCTCTTTCCCTACTGTCTAAAGTTACTGAACAAAATGCTTGCATTGGGGCCAGCAGCATAGCTGGTAAAGCCTCTGCCTACAGTGCTGGCATCCCATATGGGCATAAGCACCGGTTCAAGTCCTGGCTGTTCCACTTCCAATCCAGCTCCCTGCTGGCGTGCCTAAGAAAGCAGCAGATGGTGGCCCGAGTGCTTGGGCCCCTGCACCCACATGGGAGACCTGGAGGAAGCTGGCCCCTGGCTTCAGACTGGCCAAGCTCCAGCTGCTGCAGCCGTTTTGGGAGTGAATCAGCAGATGCAAGTGCATGCTCGCTCTCTCTCTCTAACTCTGCCTTCCACCTTTCAAATAAATGAATAAATCTTTTTTTTAATGTTTACACTGCTTTTTTTTTTTTAAGGTATTTATTTGAAAGACATAGTTAACAGAGAGACAGATCTTCCATCCACTGGTTCACTTCCCAAATTTCCGTAACAACCACGGGTGCCTGGAAATCCATCCAGGTCTCCATGGTTGGCTGCACCCCCAAGCACCTGGGCCATCTTCTGCTGCTTTCCCAGGCACATTTAGCAAGGAGCTGGATTGGAAGTGGAGCAGCCAAGACTCCAAATGGCACTCATATGGGATGCCTGCATCACAGATAGCTTAACTCCGATCCACGCGCCAGGCTCCCAACTGCTTTCAGTAACGTCTGGCTGTGTCTGCCTTTGACATTATCCTGAACCTGAGAGACAGATTGCCCACCCACAAACTGGTTTGTCAAAACGGATGACAAACCCCACCCCATGCATGAAGAGAGGACCGGTTTATTATGTACTCACACAGAAAGACTTTCTGGGGAGAACAGGGGTGGCTCCCACACAAGTCCAAAAATGGATTGAGAGCAGAGAAACTGGCTCCACTAGGGAGATTACTGTGGTAAAGGAGTGGGTGGAAGTGAGGGCTGCACCATGCATGCCAGGACCTGTGTGCGGCTTTAACTTCTCTCCCGGGCCCCTACCTGGGCTTTCCTATCATCTGTCCGGATGCAGGGCAGAAAGGAAGTGAGACTGGTAGGAGTTGAAAGGTGGCTATTGTCAGACTCCCTAGTGCATCAAGCCATTTGACAAAAAAGAAAAAAAAAATAACTGGCCAACAACATGGCATTGCAACAAATAAATTCAAGTGAGAACACAGGACATGAAGTTCAAAATGACCACAGATGGAGGAATGCAAGAAACAGCTGGCTGGGGACACGGGACATTGTCATCGTGGTGCAGAAGACCCCAGAGCTGCTACCCATGAGTGCATCAGCAGGAGAGGAAAAGTGACCCTGACAGGAGGTTCCAAAGGAGAAGCTGTTCTCCCGTTAGGTCTCTCCGCTCCAAGTCACCATGTGTTCGTCCTGTAGCCAACGCCCTACAGGTGTGTTGATGTCCAGTTTCAGAGTTGTAGAGGTTTGTGCTCTTGACTCCAGCTCAAGGAATTGGCTATCCACATGGGAGGCCTGGATTGAGTCCGCAGCTCCCATATTTGGCCCTGGCTCAACCCTAGGGATTGTGGGTATTTGGATGAACCAATGGATACGAGCTGTGTGTGTGTGTGTGTGTGTGTGTGCTTTCAATTTTTTTTTTTTTAAATTTCAGGGGTGTCTACAAACTGCACACATGAAAAAACTGAAAACTGTCCCTCCCCCATTCAGTTCTTAGAGAATGGAGTCACGCATTCTCCAGATGTGTTTTTCACCTGTCACATATTGCTGCCTAACGAATTACTCATAGCTTAGTGCTCAAAAACCACAAATATTGATTCCCTCTTACCATCTCGGAGGGGCAGGAGCAGCGTGGCTGGGCAGTTCCAACCAATCTGCCCATGAGCCTAGCTCTCAGCTGGGCCATAGGACAGCACCCAAGATGGCTCCCTCCCTCCCATGGCTGTTGGCACGGGTTCAACTCCCTGCCATGTAGGGCATCTCAAGATGGTAGCTTGCTTCCCTACCGGCAAGCAATGCAAGAAAGACAGAAGCCACAGTGCCTTTATTATTATTATTATTTATTTAATTATTTGAAAGTCAGAGTTAAACAGAGAAAAACAGAGCGAGCGAGCGAGCAAGCGAGTCAGTCTTGCATCTGCTGGTTCACTCCCCAATTGGCTGCAACGGCTGGAGCTGCGGCGATCCAAAGCCAGGAGCCAGGAGTTTCCTTCAGGTCTCCCACGTGGGTGCAGGGGCTCAAGGACTTGGGTCATCTTGTACTGCTTTCCCAGGCCACAGCAGAGAGCTGGATCAGAGAGGAGCACCCGGGACACGAACCAGCGCCCATATGGGATGCCAGCACCGCAGCCCACAGCTTTAACATACTGCACCACAGCACCAGCCCCCACAGCGTCTTTTATAACCTAGGACAGAAGTGACTGTGCCATCGCTTCTACCACATCCTGTTCATGACACAGGGGACATAGGCACAGTGTGGGAGAGGACTGTAGAAAGGCACAGATACCAGCAGGCAGGATCACTGAGGGTGGGCACCGATGACCCAGAAGGAAGCTAGCTGACCGTGGCCGTGGTGGTGCCGTCCTCTGTAGGGTACGACTGGGACCATGAACTTGTGTGTGTGCGTGCAAGTATGTTTCTTTGCACTCATCCCTTTATCTGTTTTGCTACATTTTTCCTTCATTCTTGCCCTTGAAAATATGGTTTTGCTCTTCAGGTTCAAAAATGGTTCATTTTTTTAGTTGGGAGTACATTCAACAAGTTCCAGGTTTGGTGGGGTTTACTGACTTTTGTCCCTCTCCCAGTGTGAGGACTGCAGGTTCTGTGAGAGATGGAGTAAGTTACTCTGTGTTTGTAGTACTTTTTTTTTTTTAAGATTTTTATTTATTTATTTGAGAGGCAGAGTGGGGGGTGGGCAACAGATAAGTCGGTCTTCTATCTTCTGGTTCACTCCCCAAATGGCAGCAACAGCTGGGACTGAGTGAAGCCAAAGCCAAGAGCCAAGAGCTTCTTCTGGGTCTCCCATGCGGGTGCAGGGGCCCAAGCACTTGGGTCACTTTCCACTGCTTTCCCAGCCCATAAGCAGAGAGCTGGATGGGAAGAGGAGCAGCCAGGACACAAACCGGTGCCCATATGGGATGCCGGCACTGCAGGCAGAGGTTTAGCCCACTATGCCGCAGTGCCAGCCCCACTGTTTTTGAACACAGGGGCACGGTGGGGCACAAGGCCTGCGGGACAACAGAGAGAACGCGTTCGTCCTGGCCCCAAGATGGGAGGCCACCGTGCTCTGGGAACCAGAGCTTCAGGAAACCACATGTCATAGCTGGATGGCAGATGGGTAAACACAGATAATACTGTCTGGTGCAGCACAGAACCCATGTCTTCTGTCATCTAAGATGCTATGGTCCTCTCATTTCTGTACATCTTGAAGCAACTATTTAAAATGGGAGGGGCTGGCGCTGTGGCATAGCGGGTAAAGCTGCTACCTGCAATGCCAGCATCCCACATGGGCGCCAGTTCAAGACCCTGCTGCTCCACTTCCAATCCAACTCTCTGCTATGGCCTGGGAAAGCAGTGGAAGATGGCCCAAGTCCTTGGGCCCCTGCACCCATGTGGGAGACCCAGAAGAAGCTCCTGGCTTCAGATCTGCAAAGCTCTGGCCATTGAGGCCAACTGGGGAGTGAACCATCAGATGGAAGACCTCACTTTCTCTCTCTGCCTCTCCTCTCTCTGTGTAACTCTTTCAAATAAATCAATCTTAAAAAAAAAAAAAAAAGGGAGGCTATTTTGCCCGGTGGTCTCCAGTCTGCCTCGAGATGAGCTATACTGTGGTTCTGTAAATTCATACTCAGGGCTATGTATGAATTCTGTACATTCCTATTCATACAATTCTGGATCATGCACCTGCATGGGAGACCTGGAGGAAGCTCCTGGCTTCGGATTGGCCCTGCTCTGGCCATTGCAGCCATCTGGGGAGTGAACCAGTGGATGGAAGACCTCTCTCTTTCTCTCTGTTGCTGTAACTCTTTCAAATAAATAAATAAATCTTTAAAAAAATTTGAGACACGACTTCACACTCATTAGGTTATTATTCTCTCTCTCTCTCTCTCTCACAAACCACCAGTATCATTGAGGATGTGGAGAAATCAGAGCCCTTGTGCCTTGCTGGCAGGAACGTAACGGGATACAGCCACTGTGGACATTACAGCCGTTCCTCACACAAAAATAGAATTAGCATGTGATCCGGCAATTCGACTTCTGATCCAGCATTTACCCAAAAGAATTTAAAAGCAGGGACTCTGAACAGATACCTGCACACCTATATTTATCGCAGCGTTATTCACAATGGCCAAAGAGGTGAGGGCAATCCAATCCAAGGGACCACCAACAAATGAGTGGATAAACAAAATGTGGTTATGTCTGCCCGGTGGAGGTAGGGGAGAAAATGCTGAGTCATGCTACGACTGGAGTTACCGTGACACTAGGTGAATGACACCAGTTAACAGATGAACCAACCCGGGGTGTATGTGAGTCCAGCCAGAACAGTAGGCTGGCGGTGGAATGCTGGTTTCCAAGGGCTAGGGAGAGGAGGAAGTGAGCAGCTGTTGGTGGTGGGGAGGGGTTTCCCGTCTTGCCTGAGGGGGTTCAGGGAGACTGTTTACACAGCAGGGAATTCACTTAACCCTGCAGAACCGGACCCTTTAAAATAGGATGGCCTATTTTGTTATGCATATCTCACAATTTAGAAACAAAAGTCTTCTTAGAAGTTCTGCACAGGGAAGCTGCTGGGTCAGACTCCCACAACAATGTGCCACACTTACACATGGCCTAAACAGTGTCCATATTTTACCACAATGAAAGAAAATAATTTCAGCATAATAAAGAGCAAGCATTTGGCACTGCAGTTAACTGGCCACTTGGGCCAGCTATGTCTCCCCTGCTGGAGTCCTGGCTGCCATTCTTCTGACCCAGTTTCTTCCTGCTAATGCCCATCCTGGGATGCGGCAGATGACACAAGTGCTGCAGTCCTTGCCACCCACATAGGACACCCAAACCATGTTCTGGGCTCCTGGCTTCAGCCTGTGCCCGCCCCCACCCCGCTACTGTGGGTATCTGGGGAGTGAACTAGCAAATCAATGCTCTCTCTCCATCTGTCCGTCTGTCTTTCAGTGAAAAAAAAAAAAAAAAAGGAAAAAAATATATATGCTAAACATTTTTTAAAAATAGGAGCCAGCACTGTGGTATAGGTCAAGTCTCTGCTTGCAGCACCAGCATCCCTATGGGCCTCGGTTCAAGTCCGGGTGCTCCTGTCTTTTACCTGAATGTCAAACAAAACTGTGCTTAAAAACTGCCAGAGACAGACCACTTTGAGGGAGGTGGATTTTGCTCTCTTGGAAGCCCCCCACCCATGATGCTCTGGCTGGAGGTCTTTGAGTCTAAACTTACCTTTTAAATCTCTGCTTCTCTGCTTGGAAATTCTTCCATGTGAGAATCCAGGTAATGATAATTTGTCCCATAACAATATCATAAATAAGAGCATTAAGGAATGCATTTAGTGACTTAAAAAACAACAAATGCTGACATGGGGAAAAGGAATTTTATTTATTTAAGGTATACAAGTCTCATGCATTTCATATAGATTTAGGAACATAGTGATACTTCCCGCCCTATCCTCCCTCCTGGTTCCTGGCTTCAGATGGGGGCAGCTCCAGCCATTGTGGCCAATTGGGGAGTGAACCATTGGATAGAAGACCTCTCTCTCTGCCTCTCCTCTCTCTGTGTAACTCTTTCAAATAAATAATTAAATAAAAAAAAAAGTAACTCTGATACACTATGGGTGGCAATGTGAATTAGTGCAGCCAGTAGGGAGGACATTGTGTAGGGGCCTCAAAAACCCAAAGATAGACCTACCATAGGACCCCTCCACCCCTCTTCCAAAGGAAACAGGAAGCAGCAGATACCAGCACACCCACCCATGTAACTTGGTGTGCTATTCACACCCGCCAAGGTAGGCAATCAACCTGGTTTGCCACCAGCAGGTGAATGGACAAAGAAAATGTGGCATATATACAAAATAGAGTAGGTTTTAAATATGTAAAATCCTATTATTTTTAGCAAAATGGATGGAACTGGAAGACATGTTAAGGGAAATAAGTCAGATTCAGAAAGATAAATACTGCATGTTCTCCCTTGGATGTGGAAGCTAAAAAGGAGAGCGATGGGCATTCAGTGCATGTGGGACCTCAATCCTGTATTTTTTTAAATTAATTTATTTATTTTTTTGACAGGCAGAGTGGACAGTGAGAGAGAGAGAGAGACAAAGAAAAAGGTCTTCCTTTGCTGTTGGTTCACCCTCCAATGGCCGCCGTGGCTGGCGCGCTGTGGCCGGCGCACCGTGCTGATCCGATGGCAGGAGCCAGGTACTTATCCTGGTCTCCCATGGGGTGCAGGGCCCAAGCACTTGGGCCATCCTCCACTGCCTTCCCGGGACACAGCAGAGAGCTGGCCTGGAAGAGGGCAACCGGGACAGAAACCGGTGCCCCAACCGGGACTAGAACCTGGTGTGCCGGCGCCGCAAGGCGGAGGATTAGCCTAATGAGCCACGGCGCCAGCCTCAATCCTGTATTAATAGGGCCTGGGTTCGAGTCCCAGCTGCACTCCTAATTCCAGCTTCCAGCTAAAGCGCCCCTTGAGAGGCAGCAGGTGATGGCTTAAACACTTGGGTCTCTGTAGAGACAGGAGAAACTGGATGGAGTTCCTGGCTCCTGGCTTCAGCCTGGCCCAGCCCTGTGGCAGCCAGGTGGGGAGTGAAGCAAACGGAAGGCATCTCTCTGTCTCTCTCAGCCTTTCAAATAAATAAAAATTTTAAATCGATCTGGATGTAGAACACAGATTATCAAAGCTTGAGGAGAAGGGAAGGGGATAGAGGGATAATGGGGACAAAAATACAGATAAACAGACAGAATTAGTTGTAGTATTTATTCCACAGCACAGTGGGTGAACCATAGTTCACAATAACCTCATATATATTTTGTGAAAAAACAGAGAAGCCAGACTGTTGCAACACAGAGTGACAACAGAGAGGGAAACATAATTTATCACTACACATCTGTTGAAATACCATTAGGGCACAGTGGGTAACGCCACCACCTGTAGTGCCGGCATCCCATATGGGTGCCAGGTTCTAGTCCCGGCTGCTCCTCTTCCAGTCCAGCTCTCTGCTGTGGCCCGGGAGTGCAGTGGAGGATGGCCCAAGTGCTTGGGCCCTGCACCCACGTGGGAGACCAGGAGGAAGCACTTGGTTCCTGGCTTCGGATCGGCGTAGCTCTGGCCGTAGCGGCCATTTGGGGGGGGGGGGGGGTGAACCAATGGAAGGAAGACCTTTCTCTCTGTCTCTCTCACTAACTCTGTCAAATAAATAAGTAAATTAAAAAAAATTTAAAAAAAAAAAGAATAGCAATAGGATACTGGAGTAAAACATAATGCAAACGTGCATTCAATAAACTGCTTATCATAAGCAGAACCATTTGTCTGTGAAATTTCTTCCTTGAATTCACGGATTCTCTTTCATTCTTTCAGACATAGCAATGCTGTCAAAATAAAAATATGTGAGTTGAGGCCGGTGCTACAGATAAATCCACCACCCGCAGTGCCAGCATCCCAAATGGGTAGTGGTTCCAGTCCCAACTGCTCCACTTCTGATCTAGCTCCTTGCTTATGGTCTGAGAAAGCAGCAGAAGATGGCCCAAGTCCTTGGGTCCCTGCACCCACGTTGGAGAGAGACCTGGAAGAAGCTCCTGGCTCCTGGCTTTGGCCTAGCCCAGCCCTGGCCATTGCAGCCATTTGGGGAGTGAACCAGCAGATGGAAGATTCTCTTTCTGCCTCTCCTTCTCTGTAACTCTGCCAAATAAATAAATAAATATTAAAAAAAAAAAAAAAACAAAAAAAAACATGAGCTACACATGTAATTCTATGTTTACAGTGGCCACATTCAAAGTAAAAAAGAAAAGATAACTAATTTGAATAATATATCTTATATATAATATATAATATTCGAAGCATTATCACTGCAACATGTAGTAAGTATAAATGATTGAGGTACTTTATGTTTTTTTTTAACAAGTTATTCTTGTATTTGAAAGACCAAGTGATAGAGAGGGAGAATTTCCTTCTGGTCATTCACTCCTCAAATGGCTGGGCCAGACTGAAGCCAGGAGCCAGGAACTCCTTTCTCCCACATGGGTGGCAGGGACCCAAGCACATGGGCCATCCTCTGCTGCTTTTTTCCCAGGTGTATTAGCGGGGAGCTGGGTCAGAAGCAGAGCACCTGGGACTCAAAGTGGGGCTCCGATATGGGATGCTGGTGTCGCAGGCAGTGGCTTAACCACTGCACCACTTCGGCCCCTGTATCTTTCTTACTACACAATTTTATCCCATTGGATTTTACAAGACTAGCAAGTTTGTGGAGCCTGTTTCTGAATCTGAAAAAATGAATACAAACACTGACTTTATCAGGCTGACAGGAGGGTTAGATAGCAGGAACAAAGTACTGCAGCAATGTATACCCAGCAGGTGCTCACAAATGACAGTTCCATCCTTTTCCCATTAATCTTCACAACTACACCGAGCAAAAGTTAAAATTTGTGAGTAAAGGAGAAAACTGCAATGCAAAAATAATTGACAGGGGCCAGCCTTGTGCCACAGAGGATAACCTGCATCCCACAAGGGCAATGGTTCAAGTCCCAGCCGCTCCACTTCTGATCCAGCTCCCTGCTAATGGCCTGGGAAAGCAGCAGAAGATGGACCAAGTGTGAGGGCCACTGCACCTACATGGGAGACCCAGAGGAAGCTCCTGTCTCCTGGCTTCGGTTTGGTTCATCCTTGGCAGTTGTGGTCACTTGGGAAGTGAACAAGCAAATTGGAAAATCTCTCTTTCAAATAAATAAATTAAAAAAAAAAAAAACAAAAACGGACTTATCATGTTAACACAGTGAGGAAAGCTGGAGGAGTCTGCTCCTCACCCAGCTTATTGATTTTTTTTTTTTTAAGATCTATTTATTTATTTATTTGAAAGGCAGTTACAGAGAGGCAGAGAGACTTCTTCCACCTGCTGGTATACTCCCCAGGTAGCCATAACAGCCAGAGCTATGCCATTCAGAAGCCAGGAGCCAGGAGTCTCTTCCAAGTCTCGTAGAACACAGGGGCCCAAGGATTGGGCCATCTTCTACTGCTATCCCAGGCCATAGCAGAGAGCTGGATAGGAAGTGGAGCAGAGAGCTGGATAGGAAGTGGAGCAGCCGGGACTTGAACCATTGACCATATGGGATGCTGGAGCTGCAGGCAGGGCTCACCCAGTATGCCATGGCACGGGCCCTGCTTACTGTCTCTTGATACTCATAGGGAGTAGCTTCTGGGGATGAAGGGATGAACAAGCAACAAAGTTCCTACCCACCTGGAGAGTACATTTTAGCGGGAAGACGGTAACCAGCTAATCAGCATGTCCTGTGGTAATGCGGCCCAGCAGGCAGGCTAACGGGAGGAAGAACGACACAGGTTGCAGCAGCAGGGCCCGTGATGCAGAACACTGAGGAAGTCGCATGTAGGGCAGACATGGGAAAGGAGCGAGGCATGCTGGTAACAAGACATCGCCGCCAGCATGACCGGTCAGTTCTGGGAACACTCAGGCCGTCGGTGGTGCTGGATGGCAAGGCAGGAAGGAGACTGGAATTGCAGGGGTTGGGGTATGAGGCAGATCCCACCTATGCCACATCGTCGGCCCCTCCACTCCTGATCCTGCTCCCTCTTATGGCCTGGGAAAAGCAGCAGAAGATGGCCCAAGTGCTTGGGCGCTTGCTCTCCCTTTCTCTCTGTAACTCTTTCAAATAAAGAAAGCAATCATTTAGTCTAGCAGTTAGGAGCCCACATGGGACATTCGCACTCCGTATCAGAGTGCCTGAGTTCAAATCTCAGCTCCACTGCCGGCTTTAGCTTTCTGCTAACATGCACCCTGGAAGGCAGCAGGTGCTGGCCTTAGTACTCAGGTCTCTCCCACACGGGACACCGGACTGTGCGTGCAACTCCCTGGCTCAGCCCTGGCTGCTGTTGGGCATTGGGGGAATGAACCAGCAGACAGGAGATTTCTCTCCTTTCTCTTCCTTTCATATAAATAGAATGAGCCAGGTGGAAATGGGAGCAGGCATGCAGCACAGAAGGTAAAACACTGTGTGAGACACCACAACCATATCAAAGCACTGCGTTCAGGTTCTGAGTCCGGCTTTCTGCAAATGCACATCCCGAGAGGCAGCGGTGGTGGCTCTCAGAGCTGGGGCGCTTCCGCCCACACGGGACACCTGGACTCAGAACCCCGCTCCCAAGTATTTCAGGAGTGAACCAGCAAACACAAGATCTCTTAAATAATAAAATAAATGAATGAATTCTTTAATGAAGAATGAAAATAATAAAGTATTTTTAAAATTATAGCTCTAACATCTTTAACTGAATTAATAAAAAAAAAAAAAAGCACAGCTCTCCAATGTGCTCAGTACAACATGATATAAATTGTCACATATATATTGGGGCCGGAGCTGTGGCGCAGTGGGTAAAGCTGCCGCCTGCAGTGCCAACATCCCATATGGGCGCCGGTTCGAGTCTCAGCTGCTCCACTTCCTATATAGCTCTCTGCTATGGCCTGGGAAAGCAGTACAAGATGGCCCAAGTCCATGGGGCCCTGCACCCCCATGGGAGACTGGGAAGAAGCTCCTGGCTCCTGGCTTCAGATCAGCACAGCTCCAGCTGTGTGGCCATCTGGGGAGTGAACCAGCAGATAGAAGACCTCTCTCTCTCTCTGCCTCTCTGTAACTCTGCCTCTCAAATAAATAAATAAATCTTTAAAAATAAATTAGAATGAAAATCATCAAATATTTTAAAAATTATAGCTCTAACACCTTTAATTGAATTTTTCAAAAAAGCATACCTCTCCAATGTGCTCCGTGCAGCATGATATAAAATGTCACCTAACTGAAATTGCTTCAAGATACATATATAACTCTGGGTACACTACCATAATAAAAATAAACTCAAGAGGCAAGAGGCATTTTGAGGCCTCACAAAGTACTGAAAGGAATTTTTAAAAATATACACTGATTTCACAAGCTCCGCTTCCGCTTCCATAATAACAGCGCTCACTGCTACCTATGCGATGTCGGAATTAAGCCAATGGAATTTTCCTGTATCATGAGCTGAGCTTCAAAACTGAGCTGTTTTGACTACGCGTCACTGTGCTTCAAAGTCCAATCCGTTCTGACTCTGTGGACTGGGACGCTTCCATGCACGCAGGCTTCTCTGTGGGGGGTCAGAGCTGTCTGAGGGAAACTTCTGGTCAGATTCTCAGCAGAAGACAAAATGAGCGCCTGGTGCCCCCTCCTTCAGTTTTCCACTCTGGACCAGGATGGGCTGTTTCACAGACCAGATTAACCCTCTCACCTGGAACAACGACAACAACATGACAAAAAGTAAGCTTAACCAAAAAAAAAAAAAAAAAAAAAAAGTCTCCCACCCCCAAAAAAGTCCCCAAGACCTGGGCATCAGGCCACTAAGGGCAGAGTCCCTGAGACACAGGACACAGCCAGATGGGCCTTCCAGGCGCCCCAGCAGATCCACAGCTCTGGCTGTGCCGTGCTGGGGCCTGGCAGCCTCCTGAGTTGAAGACGCGGGTTTGAGGGTCTGGAGACACAGATCTACCGCATCTGTGAGGTGAGGGCTGCACACACAGGAACTCAGTAGAGAAGCCCCCAAAAGGAGGCAAAGCCATTACGCATTTCAAGAAGATCCTGTCCTGGAGCAGCTCAGGGAACAGCACCCAGTGCTCACACCACTGGGGTCTGGGAAGGGGCCGACCCTGCCTCGGCTCACTGGGGGTTCACGAAGCCCTGTCTCAGCAGCAGGCAATGACAGCGCTCCACTGACCGTTCAGCCCCCTGCGCCCATGAACTTCCACCCTGGGCCCCAACCCCAGCTTCCATCCAGGCCCGTAATGATGAGTGGGCAGCTGTTTGCCCTCTAGCTCAGGGTCAGACAAGAGCTACTAAAGAAGAACACTCAAACAAGAGGCAGAATTTATACCATGACCCTTAAAATGTGTCATACCAAGACAAAGGAAAACATTGCACATTGAAAAAACAGAAATCAACCCTAAGCTAGTAGAATATCTCACAAACTTTTGTCTACTTTTCAAAAATTTTTATTTCTTTATTTGAGAGGCAGAGAGACAGGGAAAAAGAGACAGAAAGTGCTCCCAGCCACCAGCTCACTCCCCAAATGCCTGCAATGGCCAGGGCTAGGCAGGGAGAGAAGCCAGGCGCCAAGAACTCAACCCAAGTCTTCCCAAACCTAACTACTTGAGCCATTACCACTGCCGCCTATGTTTTACCAGCTGCAAGCCGGAGTCATGAGCTGGAGCCCAACACTGAATCCAGGCACTCCAATACAGAATGTGGGCTAGCTTAGCTGTGAGGCCAAATGCCCACCCTATGACAGGATTCTAAAGCAGGCATCGCAAAATGCTCCAATGAGGGGCCAGCACTGTGGCATAGCGGGTAAAGCCGCCACCTGCAGTGCCAACATCCCATAGGACGCCAGTTTGAGCCCCGGCTGCTCCACTTCCGATCCTGCTCTCTGCTATGGCCTGGGAAAGCAGTAGAAAATGGCCCAGGTTCTTGGGCCCTTGCAGCTCCGACGGAGTCCTGGAAGAAACTCCTGGCTCCTGGCTTCGGATCAGCACAGCTCCAGCCGTTGTGGCCAGCTGGAGATTGAATCAGTGGATGGAAGACACCTCTTTCTCTCTCTTTCTGCTTCTGTAACTCTTCCTTTCAGATAAATAAATAAATAAATCTTAAAAGAGAGAGAGAGCGAGAAAGAGAAGAAACAAGAAACTCTACAACACAAAATTTTACTGATCAAAATAAAAATTCACGGGCGGTGCTGTGGTGCAGTGAGTTAATGCCCTAACCTGCAGCACCAGCATCCCATATGGGTGCCAGAGTCCTGGTTGTTCCACTTCGGATCCAGCGCCCTGATAATGTGCTTGGGAAAGCAGTTGGGGATGGCCCAAATCCCTGGACCCCTGTGCCTACATAGGAGACCCAGAGGAAGCTCCTAGCTCCTGGCTTCAGATTAGCTAAGCTCTGGCTGTCATAGCCATTTGAGAAGCGAACCAAAAGATGGAAGACCTCTTTCTCTTGTCTCTACCTCTCTTTATAGCCCTGTCTTTCAAATAAATAAAATCAGCGGCGGTTGGCCCAAGTGCTTGGACTCCTGCCACCCATGTGGGAGACCCAGATGGAGTTCCAGGCTCCCAGTCGCAGCCATTTCATGGGTGAACCAGCGGATGGAAAATCTCTCGCTCTCTCCCTTTATCTCTCTCTGTAACTCTCTGCCTTTCTAATAAATAAATCTTTTCAAAAAATGAAATAAAAGTAAAAATTCACTGCGTAGGCTTAAAAAGCAGAATGCAAGGGCAGGCGTTTGATGCAGCAGTTAAGATACACTTTGGGAGACCGGTGCTACGGCATAGTGGGTAAAGCCACCGCCTGCAGTACCAGCATCCCATATGGGTGCCAGTTCCAGTCCTGTCTGCTCCACTTCTGATCTAGCTTTCTGCTGTAGCCTGGAAAACCAGCCCACATCCTTGGGCCCTTGCACCCACACAAGAAACCCCAAAAAAGCTCCTGGCTCCAGATCAGCCCAGCTCTGGCAGTTGTGGCCAACTGGGGAGTGAACCAGCAGATGGAAGACCTCTCTCTTCTCTCTGCTTCTGTCTTTCAAATAAATAAATAAATCTTTAGGAAAAGAAAAAAAAAAAAAAATACACTTGGAACACCAGCACCCCACATCAAAGTGCCTGGTTGAGTCCCAGTTTCTCCACTTTCAGCCCAGCTTCCTGCAAATGCCCCACCAGAATTGTTTGCTTGTTTGTTTGGAAGCAGAAAGGAGCCAATGAAAGGGTGGGGCTAGGGAGGAGACCAGCTGACTTGAAATGGGACAAGGGCCAACATTATGGCACAATGGGTGAAGTCATCACTTGCAATGGTGGCATCACATATCTGAGGGCTGCTTCCAGTCCCAGCTGCTCCACTCCCCATCCAGCTCCCTGCTAATGTGTCTGGGAAGGCAGCAGCAGATGGCCCAGTGTTTGTGCACCTGCTACCCATGAGGGAAACCAGGATGGAGTTCCAGGCTCCTGGCTTCAGCCTGGCTCACCCACGCCTATAGCAGCCATTTGGGGAGTAAATCATCAGATGAAAGATATTGTTCTTTCCATCTCTCCCTCTATTTCTGACTCTCCTGCCTTCCAAATAAATAAATACTCTTAAAAAATTAAAAAAAAAAAAAAAAAAGAATATCAAACAACAGAATTTACCCAATCAAAATTGAGTCACAAAAGACCCGACATTCATGTTATCAGAGTCCCACAGGGAGTCTACGGAACTAGAAAATATTCAAGGAAGTAATAGCTGAAAATTCTCGATTTTGACCAGATGACATCGGAGAGTCATATGAGGAAACCATAAAGAACTCTATCTCACAAATCTGGAAACTTGGGTGAAACGTGCCAATTCTCCTAAAAGCTAGTACCATAACTCATCCAACACGAAATAAAGATACTGAATCTGTAATTGAAAAATTTCCAAAACATCTTCAGACTCAGTTTCAATGGAAAAGTATACCAAATATTTAAAGAAGGATTAAGACAATTTTTATAAATATCTCCCACAAAATGGGAGTTAAAACTACTTCCATTCTCATTGAATAAGGTCAGTGTTACACCCAGATATCAAACTCAAAGACAGTTAAAAGGAAACAAACAAAAAAAGATTAGGGGCCTGGGCTGTGGCACAGCAAGTTGGGCCTCCACCTGCGATGCCGGGATCCCATTTAGGCACCAGTTCAAGAGCTGGCTGCTCCACTTCTGATGCAGCTCCCTGCTGAAGTGCCTGGGAAAGTAGTGCAAGATGGCCCCACATGTTTGGGCCCCTGTACCCATCCATGTGGGAGACCCGGAGGAAGCTCTGGGATCCTGCCTTTGGCCTGGCCCAGCCCCAGCCATTGTGGCCATTTGAGAAGTGGACCAGCAGATGGAAGATTCTCTCCTCCTCCCTCTGTGCGCTGCCTTTCAAATAAATAAAAAATAAATCGTTTTTAAAAAATCAATATCCCTCATAAATACAGATGTCAAGTCTTTCATAAAATATGAGCAAACAGAACTCAGCAATATGTAAAAGCAATTATAAACCACACCCAAGTAGGGTTTGGAATCAGCATCTGAAAATCAATCTACGTAATACAGCATATTAATAGCTGGGGTAACAATGACGTGATTGTGTGATATGACACAGAAAAGACACTGAACAAAGTACCAACATAGATGATGAAAACCTTTACCAAGTTAGAAACAGTGTGTGGGGGTGGGGGGTGTAGCCTGCAGGCTGGCAAACACAGGAGCACTTGAAATTGTGCCAGAAGTTCTGTTTGGCTGTTGCCAAATCACACTTTTTACGATAAAATCACCACCGCAGAAAAACAAACTGAGGAGAACCAGCTCAACTTGGTTAAAAGCATCAACAAACACTACAGCTGGGGGGGAGGGGAGTTTTGAGGAAGCAGCTGAAGTGGCTACTTAGGAAGCCTGCACCCCCATTTCCGTATGTCTGGGATCAAGTCCATTGCTGCTATCCAGCTTCCTGGGAGGTAGCAGACTATGATCCAAGTACCTGGGGACCCTGCCACCTACAGGGGACACCCAGTTGGGAGTTCCTGGTTCCTGGCTTCAGGCCTGGTCCAGGCCCAGCTGTTAGAGGTATTTTCAAACCAGCAGATGAAAAGATCTCTCTCTCTCTGTTGCTCTGCCTTTCAAATAAAAATAAACTTTAAAAATATTTTTGAAAACCTTAAAAATACTACAGCTGGCATCACACTGGGGAAAAAAAAAAAAAACTGTACATTTCTTCCCTAAACTGGGAACAAGCTCTTCTTTTTTCTGAGCAATGCATTAAATCAATGGAAGAGGAAATAAAAGTTGAGTATGGATTGGAGCAGAAGTAAAATAACTCCTATGTGCTGATGTCCAGGTCTGCTACATGGAAATCTCAAGAAATATACCAAAAAGAAAAACCTAGAGCTTATATGATGACCACGGTCACAGTGTTATGACGAAGAAGGTATTACCAAGGTTCTTTGTCTCACATAGAAGAATTTCCAAGCAGACAAGCAGAGAGACTTAAAAGCAAGATTTATTAGACTCAAAGACCTCCAGCCAGAGCAGCATGGATGGGGGGCTTCCAAGAGAGCAAAATCCACCCCAAAGTGGTCTCTGGCAGGTTTTAATTAAGCACAGTTTTGATTGACATTCAGGTACAAGACAGGGGACAAAACCCATCAAAAGACCTGATTTGCAATCCTTGACCCTGTCTGGCTCACTCAGGATAGAACAAAAGAGCCATCCCAGAGCTAAGACACCTAATTTGTTTTCACAATAAACTGGGAGCTCAGAAGGGTGGAGCCCCCACTCCCTTGCTATTCTCATGTTAAGACTGGAAGCTCCCAAGGAGTGGGCAGGCAAGCACTTGTGGCCTTGCTAAGGAAAACTTTTGGGGGGAATATTTTCCACCCTCAATTTCCAGCATGACTCTTCACAGTAGAATATGAGATCAACTACAAAAATGAATAATTTTTCTGTATAACACCAATACAACATGTAGAAATCTAAGGTATAATATCCTCCTCTCTCTCATTCTCTTTAACTCTCAAATAAATAAATGTATTTTTAAAAGAAAAAAATTTATAATACCATTGGAGCCAGCCCTGTGACATGAAAGGTTAAGCTTCCACCTGCAGTGCCAACATTTCATATGGGTGCTGATTCATGTCCTGGCTGTTCCTCTTCCAATCCAGCTCTCTGCTAATTAGCCTGGGAAAGCAATGGAAGATGGCCCAAGTACTTAGGCCCCTGCAACCTCCTGGGAGGCCCAGAAGCAGCTTCTGGCTCCTGGCTTCGGATCAGCTTAGCTCTGGCCGTGGTGGCCATTCGGGGAATGAACCAGCAGATGGAAGACCCTTCTCTTTCTCTCCTCCACCACCCTGTAACTCTTTCAAATAAATAAATATTTAAAAAAAAAAAAAAAAGTGCATGATCCAGAAAAGGAGAAGTAGATAAACCTGACTTTTTGTTGTTGTTGTTCAGAAAAGTTAAAGTACAAACCAGAGGAAAATATATGCAAATCCCATGTCTGGACTTGTAATTCAGAAACGATAATGAAGCATCAAAACTCAACAGCCACTTTTTTAAAAGAACAAAATAGTTCACATTTCAAAAATAGACACAGACATAGCAAACAAGCTCACCAGGTCGGTCCAGCTACAATGGCTACAGAGGTTGTAGCCATTTGGAGTGAACCAGTGGATGGAAGACCTTTCTCTCTGTAACTCTCTCTCTCAATAAATAAAATCTTAAAAAAGAAAAAAAAGGAAGAAATGGAGCAGCAGAGACTCAAACCAGAGTTCCTGTGGGATGCTGGCCATGCAGACCGCGGCGTGGGCCTCTGCGCCTCAAGGCCAGTCCCATGGTTTTATTTTATAGTTACATGTATGCTTCCTGTATGATACAGCAGTACCACTGGGTGGGCTGGCACAACTGCTTTGGAAACTATCCTTGTGTTATGAAGCAGAATGTGGACAAATCCTATGGTCCTGTACCTATGGCACAGGTACACAGCCAGAAGGAAGTCTGGCATATGTGCCCCAGGAGACAGGTGCTTGTGCAAAGCACCACTGTAATATCCCATCCTGCAAACAGTACACTGCTGAAGCATGTGGCCCACTTACTACATGAAAGGTTATAAAACAGCCAAAATTACCATTGAACCTGCAATAACCTTGCAAATAACTTGCAATAACTTTGCAATAACTTGCAAAAACCTTGGAAGACAGCACTGATTAACAAATGTAGGCACTAAGGAAAACATATTGTTTAATTCATATATAAACATACACAGTGGGGCAGGCGCTGTGGAGAAATGGGTAAAGCTGCCAGCTGCAATGCCGGCATCTCATATGGGCACTGGTTCAAGTCCCAGCTGCTCCACTTCTGATCCAGCTCTCTGCTATGCCTGGGAAAGCAGTAGAAGATGGCCCAAGTCCTTGGGCACCTGCACATGCATGGGAGACCTGGAAAAAGTTCCTGGCTCCTGGCTTTGGATAGGCCCGGCTCCGGCCATTGTGGCCAATTGGGAAGTAAACTAGTAGATGGAAGACCTCTCTCTGCCTCTCCTTCTTAGTATAACTCTTTCAAATAAATAAATAAATCCTTAAAATAAACAAACATACACAGTAAAAACTACAAATGTTTTTAGCATATATACAAAGCTGAATAATACTCCATTTTATGTATGTGCCATTCTGTGTACCTATTCATCTATTAATGAACTCTTGGGTTACTTTCACTTTCATAACTGTGAATAACATTGCTATGAATATGGGTATACAAAATATTTGCCTGTCTCATTTCTTTTAGATATATCACTATAAGTAGTATTGCTGAATTACAATGCAATTATATTTTTAATTTTTGAGGAACCATTAAAATGCTTTCCAGAGTGGCTATTACCATTTTAGAATCCTACCAAAAGTCTATAAGGCCGTATTTCTTATTTTTAAGATAAGAAGGGCCGACACTGTGGCACAGTGGGTAGAGCTGCCACCAGCAATGCTCGTATCCCATGCGGGTGCCATTAGTGTCCTGGCTACTCATGTCCCAGCTGCTCCACTTCAGATCCAACTCTCTGCTGGTGGCCCATGAGGCGCAGCAAAGGATGACCCATGTGCTTGGGCCCCTCTGGCTTCAGCCTGGCCCAGTTCTGGCTGTTGTAGCCATCAGGGGAGTGAACCAGAAGACGGAAGCTCTCGCTCTCTCTCTCTCTCTCTGGCTCTCCATCTCTGTCTGTGACTCTGACTTTCAAACAAACAAATAAATCTGTTTTTTAAAATGTGGGAGAAAAAGCTACATACAAAAGCAATGCTGGCATCTCATATGGGTACTGGTTCAAGTCCAGGCTGCTCCACTTCCCATCCAGCTCCCTGCTAATGGCCTGGGAAAGCAGCAGAAGACCCGGATGAAGCTCCAGGCTCCTGGCTTTGTCCTGGCCTAGTTCTGGCCACTGCAGCCATTTGGAGAGTGAACCAGCAGACAGAAGATCTCTCCCCCTCTCTCTATCTCTCCCTCTAACTTTGACTTTCAAATAGGTAAATAAGAAAATTGAAAAAAACATTTGATCATAAAGGAAATATATGAAGCCTAACACAAAGCCCTGGACTAATCCTAAACTAAAAATTCAAATTCTTTCCCAAATGAGTTTAAAAGGAATCAGTACACAATGTATATAAGGATATGACCAGATGGAGCAGGCATTATGGTGCAGTGGGTTAAGCTGCCACCTGGGATACCCACATCCCCTAGTAGAGCACTGGTTTGAGTCCTAGCTATTCAGCTCCTGATACAGCTTCCTGCTAAAGTGCATCTGTCAAAGGCAGGAGATGGCCCAAACCTTGGGCCTCTGCCACCCACATGGGAGACCAGGATGGAGTTTCTGGCTCCTGGCTTCATCCTGGCCCAGGCTCAGATGTCACAGACGTTTGCAGAGTGAACCAGCGATGGAAGATCTCTCACTCTGCTTTCAAATACATAAAGTTTTTTAAAAAAATTTTTTAAGGATATGATTGGAGGAAAAAAAAATAGTTAACTATTCCATGAACAGGCAACAGAAAAGACCAGGAAGCAAACGAAATCAAGGAGGAAATATTTCAAACCAAATAAATATAGTGACATCTGGAGGCCAGCAATGTGGGGCCACACGTGACACAGGCATCCAGAACCTTATAAAATAAATAAATAAATCTGGAGGACCAGCGTTGTGGAAAAACCATACGCACCTTATTCTATAAAAAGGTCAAGTCTATCTTTGGTGGAGAAAATTCCCCGTCATGAGATTGGCCGCACTCTTGTCTTCAATGTGCCTTGTGTTTTGATTCATCCTGCTATTTTGTTCACCTTTATCTATGTCTCCTGGTTGTGTTCTTACATGAGAGTGTTACGGGAAAACGGCGGCAGAGAAATCATTGTTACTTGGAAGAATTTCCAAGCAGAGATTTAAAAGATTTATTAGAGTCAAAGACCCCCACCCAGAGTGGCACGGACCAAGAACCTTGTAGTATAGGGGATTTTATGTACAATTTTGAAGGAAAAAAAAAAACCACAACAACTTGGCCATCAGACTGCATTCAGTTGGGGGGGGGGGGGGGACAAAAACCTATCCAAAGCCCTGATTTACAATTCTTTACCCTATCTAGAAGGGTGGGGCAGGTAACTAGTTTTCACAGGAACCTGTGAGCTCCCTGGCTATTCTCATGGTAAACGTGGAGATTCGGAAGGAGGGCGGCCTGTTTGTTCTAGCAAACAGGGAAGGGAGCAAACGTTTCACACCCCAAATTCCACTGGGACCTCCCTGACTACCTATTAACCCATCTGACCCCTCACTAGGGCAGATAAGAAACTGGATTAGGTCTAGCAGGGAGCTCTGGATTCCCACAGCCGCCTCTGTCAGGACCCTGGGATGGAGGTCTGGGCTCCTGGCTACGGCCTGGCCATTTGGCAAGTGTGTCACTGGATAGATCTTGACCTTGGTATTGTCTCTGTCAAAAGAGTTTTCAAGTAGATGAACATAGGTCACTTTTTAAAATGAAGAAGAAAAACCAGGAGTGCAACACCCCCCCCACTGCAAGAACCCAATGCCGTGGTCCCTGTCAAGCCCCGCCCCCCCACTTGAATTCAATCTGCCTTACTCTTAAAAGAGGTAACTACTAGAACCTCTGTTCTCGACGGCACCGCTGGCAGAGTCCGTGCAGAGGGTGCAGTCCTGTGGTCCCTCCAGGCCCCCACACGCCCACCCACCCGGGACTACATTCCCGCCCGGGAGTGGGTGCCTCGGCAGGGTCCCCAGGCCTCCATTCCCGCAGGGTAAACGGACTGGCCCCTCCCCACTGGGGCCAGCAGCCATACTCAGGGCTCCCTCGGGCCCCGCAGTCCCTGGCCCGCGGACGGCGCCACCCCGCCCCCACCGCGTGCGGGGCTCAACGTCCGGCCCCGCCTCGCCGGCCGCTGCCCCGCAGAGCCCAAGGCGCAGCAGAGCCGGGGAGAGCGACCCTCGCCCTCGGACCCCGCCTCGCCCACTCGCGACACCAGCCGCGCAGGCAACACCCGCAGCGGGGCCAGTCCAGGGATTGAGACCGCCGCCCCCCACCGGGCCACGCTCCGGCTCCAGCACCTACCTAGAGGAGGCCGCTACACTGGGCACTCCAGCGGCGGTCAGTGAGCTAGAGCCGCTTGTTTACCGTTACCATGGGAACCGCGGCGGCGCGCCCTGGGCGGGGCCTCCGAGGGGCGGTGGCAGGCGCGCGCCCGCCCGTCAGTCAGGGGACTTCCGGCTCCCGGCGTGCTCGGCCCCACGGGCCCGCTCTGCAGCCAGCGGTGGCAGCGCCCACCGAATGAACGGCCGCCCTCCGGGGCCCGCTTTCCTCAGGAAGACACGGCGCGCGGTTCGGCCTCCACCCCGGCGCCATTGTGACGCGCGCGCCGCGGGGCGGGCTGCGGCGGCGCATGCGCGAGCCCGCTGAAGGGCGAGGCGGCGCTGAGGGAGCGCTGGAGCCGCCCGAGGGGAGACGACGGGAGCCGCTCCCTGCGGCGGGCGAGCGCGGGGAGGCCGAGGGCCCGCGCGGCCGCGCCCGACGAGCCTGCCGGAGCCCTCGGGTCCGCGTGCGTGCCCCGGGTGGCGCCCGGCGTCTGCGCGAGGCCGCGCTGTTTCTCTTCTGAACGTGGCTCAGAAAAAGGCGGGCTGCAGGCGCCATGCTAGACGTAAACGATTTCGCAGGATGTGGGCGGTCAGGCGAGGGTGTTTCGGAAGGAGAACAAAATAAGGCCGCTCCGTAACGGAGTCCGAGTGGTGAAAGGCAAGCACCGGTTCGCCTCAGATAAGGAAACACCACGGTGACGGACGGCTCCGGCTTTGCTAGCCCTGCTCCGGGGCTTCTGCCTTCTACCTAAAAATCGCCAAGATAATCCCCGAATTGCCCTTGTTTTCTGACAGCACCGAGCCAGATCGGTTGGCGCCTTCCCCCACATCGCCAGCCACAACCCCAGATGCTGTCACAGCCGGCTAGAACTAGTCTCCTGAGGCCGCATGGTTCCCCGGGGAGCGAGGGCTCCTTCAGCGCGAAACTCACAACTCAGTAATAACTAACTGGTGGAGCGAGGAATACATCCATTCCCGGAAGTCACCCATTCCACCACCCTGACTGCCCCTGACGGGCATTGCCTGTAAGAATACACTTATATACGTGAGTTAGACATACCTCGTGCACACTGAAAGATCTCAAAGCCTGGATGCCTAATCTTTCTAATGATAGTGGTAAGCGATCAAGATCGTAGTATATAAAATACTCATTTGCTAAATGTGATTCTGGATTGTGTTCAAGAACAGCCGAAGGACATTGCTGGAAAAAAAAAAGACATTGCTGGAGAAATTGGTGAAATCAGATAAGCTACAGTCTTAATATACCAGTTTCTTAGTTTTAATAAATGTGCTTGAATAATATTATATTTGGGGGAAATAAATGTGCCGTGGTTATCTAACTATAGGGTTAGATAAACGTGGTAAAGAAGCTCCCTGTGCAATCTGCAAATGTTCTGTGGATCTAAGATTATCCCAAAATAAAAACCTTACGAAGACAAATGCTTCTGCACAACTTGCTCTCCAGGGAGAAGCCGGATTTTTGCTGTTGACCAGAGTAGTGGGAATAGTTATTGCATCACGAACACCACTGGCATGAGCTGCTGAAGTATAGTCACAACAGACATCTTCCTCCTTACCTTACCTCTACCTCTTCCCCCTCCTGACTTTTTTTTTTTTTTTGAGGCACAGAGAGTCTTCCTCTGGCTCACTCCCCAGATGGCCACAACAGTTGGAGCTGCGCCAATCCGAAGCCAGGAGCCCTTCCTGACGTTTTTTAATTCCCTCCTGAGTTCACCCACATGGGAGACCGGGACAAAGCTCCTGGCTGCAGATCATTCCAGCTCTGGGCATTGAGGCCATCTGGGTAGTGAACCAGCAAATGGAAGATCCCACTTTTTCTCCCAGTAACTCTACCCTTCAAATAAATAAAATAAATCTAAAAGAAAGAAGGAAAAAGGTATGCAGCTATCAGATTCTGAAAGGAATCACACCTGGTCTAGGCCTGTTACACTGTCACATGAGCCAGGTAAGCCCAGGATTCCTGACTGCTTTGAGAGTGAAAAAAATCTCTCAAAATGTAAGAACCACACTAAACAGAAGTTGTGCAAGGCAGCATTGTCAAATCAAAAGCAAAGGAAGGAAGATCTCTCTCTCTCTTGATTCTGCAAGCACATTAACACATCTCCTGAGCCCTCCTTGTTGTCAGGCAGCCCTCTGCCTTCCCCAGGCACAGCAATTAACACGGTAAGGGAAGCCACCAAGCTAACACATTAACAAGACAGAAAACAAAATACCCAAGCCCAAACAGCAAACAAGTCACCATAGGACAGCCCAGCCTTTCACAGTAACAGGGGACAGATGTTTCCATTCAGGAAATCCTTTCATAATGAAAAATGGTCATGAATGCTAAAGGCAGAAGCAAGCATGAAGGTTTATTTGACATACAAAAATTGCAACGTAGAGAGAAGGAGTTTTTGCAATCAGGTTTTCATTATGTGGTAGGAGAGGGAGGGGGCTGCCTCAAAAAGTTAATGGAAAACAGAATGTAAAAGGGAAGTTTATTTTTGTGCAGAATAAGTTTTTAAATCCATGCAACATGCATAGTGGGGCCAGTGCTGTGGTAAAGTTGCCACCTGCAGTGCCAGATTCCCATATGGCTGCCAGTTCAAGTCCAGGCTGCTCTTCTGATCCAGCTCCCTGCTAATGAGCCTGGGAAAGCCGTAGGAGATGGCCTGAGTGTTTGGGCCCCTGCACCCATATGGGAGACCCAGAGGAAACTCCTGGCTTCAACCTGGCAGAGCCCTGGCTGTTGTGGCCATTTAGGAAGTGAACCAGCAAATGGAAGTTTCTCCCTCTCTCTCATTCCCTCTCTGCCTCTGTTTCTCCCTCTCTGTACCTCTGCCTTTTAAATAAGTAAATAAATCTTTAAATAAGTAAAAAAATTGATGCACAGCTTTTTCATATACACACTTTCCACATGATTAAAAATATTCTAGTAGCCACAATTACAAAAAAAGAAGAAATAGGCAAAGTTATTTTAATATTTGTATATGATTCAGTATATACTGAATACTCTATTCATGTATTCTGCATGTAATTAATTAATTAATTAAAGTTATTAGGGTGGAGGTTTGGTGCAGCAGTATGCTCATATCCCCAAGTTCTGACACGTTACAAGACATATTGGAATGCTTGCATGTTAGTCCCAGCTCTGCTTCCCATAACAGCTTCCTGCTGGTGAGTAACGTAGACAGAAGCAAGTGATGGCTCAGTTACTTGGATGCCTACCAGCCATGTAGGAGACCCAGATTAAGTTCCAGGCTTCTGGGGCCAGCCACAGGGTACAGTGGATTAAGCCACCACCTGCAAACGCCAGCATTGCAAGTGAGCACTGCTTTGAGTCCTGGCAGCTCCACTTCCTATCCAGTTCTCTGCTGGTGTGCCTAGGAAAGCAGTGGAAGATGGCCCAAGTACTTGGGCCTCAGCACCCCCATGGATGAAACTCCTGGCTCCTGGCGTTGGTTTGGCCCAGCCCTGGGTGTTGTTGCAGCCATTGTGGGGAGGAGAACCAATGGGTAGAATATTTCTATATCTATCTGCTCTCTCTTGCTCTGGCTTTCAAACTAAAAAAAAAAAAAAAAAAAATTAATGGCCGGCGCCGCGGCTCAATAGGCAAATCCTCCACCTGCGGCACCGGCACCCCAGGTTCTAGTCCCAGTCGGGGTGCCGGATTCTGTCCCGATTGCTCCTCTTCCTGTCCAGCTCTCTGCTGTGGCCTGGGAGTGCAGTGGAGGATGGCCCAAGTGCTTGGACCCTGCACCCGCATGGGAGACCAGGAGAAGCACCTGGCTCCTGGCTTCAGATCAGCATGGTGCGCCGGCCGCAACGGCCATTTGGAGGGTGAACCAACGGAAAAGGAAGACCTTTCTCTCTCTCTCTCACTGTCCACTCTGCCTGTAAAAAAAAATTTTTTTAATCTGACTCTACCAATGGAATATCATTCAGTCTTAGAAAGGAAGGAAATTCTGACACAGGCTAACCCATGCATAAACCTGTGTGTTATGCTAGGAGAAATAAGCCAGTCCCAGAACGGCAAATAATACTTGTTTCCACTTGCAGGACCCAGAATAGTCAAATTCATATAAGCAAAGTAGAATGGTGGCTGCTGGGGTAGGAGAGGGGGAGGAATTGGGGAGTGGTTTTATGGTTGAGGAATTTCAGTTTTGCAAGATGACAAGAGACTGGCTCACACAACATGTGGTTATTACATCTGAACTGTACACTGAAGAATGACTAAGATGGTAAGCTTTATGTGCATTTTACAATTAAAACTAGTGTTTAGCAAAACTAAAGTCAAGTCTCCAGTGGCACTAGCAGCATTTCCCCTGTTCAGCAGGCCTCTGTGGGAGGACACAGCTTTAGGCTACCATAAAGGAAACCCACAAACCCTATCACCCACCTGGCACTCTGAGAGCTGCCTTGGGGCTGGGAATGGGGTTGGGGCTCTGCCTCAATGCCCTTCTGGGCTTACCCTGTAGGGTCACAACTCCTCTGTCTGATAAGCCAAACACCCACCCCTAATTACTGAATTCCATCATCAACTTCACTTTGCTTTAGGGAGTTTCACGTGTATATACAGAAGAAAGTGCGGCCTTGTAATTCCTTATCAGGACACTTTTAGCTTGTGGGTGTATTTACTTCTCATCTTAGAATGGAGACCCAGGCAGGTGCTGTGGCGCAGCGGGTTAAAGCCCTGGCCTGCAGCGTCCACATCCCATATGGGCGCCGGTTTGGGTCCTGCTTCCTCCACTTCTGATCCAGCTCCCTGCTAATGAGCCTGGGAAAGCAGTAAAGGATGGGCCAAGTGCCTGGGCCCCTGTACCCATGTGGGAGACCTGGAAAAAGCTTCTGGCTCCTGGCTTCGGATCGGCTTAGCTCTGGCTGTTACGGCCATTTGGGGAGTGAACCATAGGATGGAATACCTCTCTGTCTTTGTCTTTTCTCTCTGTCTCTACCTCTCTCTGTAACTGTTCTTCAAATAAATAAAATGAATCTTGAAAGACAGTTTTAAAAAGAATGGAGTCCCACCAGGACTCACTGTAACTCCATTTGTCACCTATGAAATGTTACCCTACATTGGGTGACTTCACATGAAAGTCCTTGTCCAGTGGCTAAGATTTGCAAGCGGCTTGTTATAAATTGCTTCCTATGTGAACAGCCCAGGGCCTTGAAATCTCAAGGACAGAGAATGAAGGTGTGCCACTAGGCCTCAGGACATTTTGCTCTGGCTCTACCTCCAGGGCTTAAGTTTTTTGTTTTGTTTTTAAATTTAATTTAAAAGGCAAAATTACAGACAGAGGTGGGGGAGGGAGAGGGAGATCTTTCAATTGTCTGGTTCACTCCCGAGATGGCCAGACCAAAGCTAGGAGCCAGGAACTTCATCCGTTTTTCCCACATGGGAACAGCGGCTAATGTGCCTAGGAAAGCTGCGGAAGATGGTCCAGGTCCAAGCACTTGGGCCCTTGCCTGGCTGTTGCAGCCATTTGAGGAGTGAACCAATGGATGGAAGATCTCTCCCTGTCTGTCCTGTCATTCTCCCTTTCTCTGTTAAAAAAAAAAAAGGTGTTTTTCTTGTCACTGTTGTTGTAATTTAAATCCGGGCCAGCTTTGTGGCATAGCAGGTAAAGCCGCCACCTGAAATGCTGGCACTCGGTGTAGGCACCTGTTCCTGTCATGGCTGCTCCACTTCAGATCCAGCTCCCTTTTTGTTTTGAAGGATTTATTTATTTATTTGAAAGGCAGAGGGAGAGGGAGAGGGAGAGAGGTCTTCTATCCTCTGGTTCACTCCCCAAGTGGCCACAACAGTTACAGCTATGCTGATCCGAAGCCAGGAGCCAGGAGCTTCTGGGTCTGCCATGTGGGCGCAGGGACCCAAGGACTTGGGCCATCTTCTACTGCTTTCCGAGGCTATAGCAGAGAGCTGGATCAGAAGTGGAGCAGCCAGGAATCGAACTGAAGGCAGAGGCTTTACTCGCTATGCCACAGCTCCGGCCCATTAGTTCCGTTAATAGCCTAGGAAGAACAGTGGAAGATGGCCCCAGTGGTTGGGTCCCTACCACCTGTGTGGGAGATCTGTAAGAAGCTCCTGGCTCCTGGCTTCGGTTTGGCCCAGTCCTGGCCATTGTGGTCATCTGGGGAGTAAACCAACAGATGGAAGATCTCATTGTCTCTTTGTCTCTCCCTTTTTCTTTGTAACTCTGACTTTCAAATAAATAAATTAATAAATTAATCTTTAAATTTTTTTTAATTAAAAAAATGGAGCAAAAGTGAAACTTCCAGAATCCTTTCCTACTTACAAACATGAAGGTCTGGTTGAGGGGCACAGTGGGCTGAGTGGATTTGGCACCAAGAGTAGCCTAGGTGATGGGAGCTTATCTGTGGAAACATCTCTGTCAGGTCTGGTCAGGACAGATGGAAACCAATTTTATGGTTTGTATCCAACATCCCAACAGGAAATGCTAAGTTTTAAGTTCATAGGAAGTATCGTGTTGCTTTTCATTGCTTTTAAAGATGTCAGAAGACTAATTTACAGATTCCATATTCAAGACTTCATTGTAGATTGAGTCTCAGGGGGCCCACTCTATGAGGACAAGACAGGTCTGATTGTCAAGTCAGGCCAGCACTGAACAGCCCCAGCTAAGATGGTTTACTTCAATTTCACTGTCAAGGCCACTCAATCCAGGGAAGGTAAGCAGCTCTTTCAAAGCTAACCAGATAGTAGAGGGCTGCACAGAAACCCAGAGTGCAAGAGTCCCATCTAACCACCGTCCTCTCACACCAGACTGATACTTTGCTCTGTGTGCATGTGTGTACATGTGTGGCCTCACTTTGCACAGCAGTGTGAGACTGTAAAAGTGAACATGCAATGTGAAACCATGCAAAGTGACCTTAATAATCCATGGGAGATATTACGATTATTCTGTGACCTTCAAAAATGTATTTATTTGAGGGGCAGAGAGACAGAGAGAAATCTCCCGTTCATTGGTTCACTACCCAAATACTGCAATAACTGGGGCTGGACCAGGCCACAACCAGGAGCCTGGAACTCAATCCAGGTCTCCCACATTAGGGGCAGGGATCCAAGGATTCGGCATCACCACCGCTCCCAGGGTGCACATCAGCAGGAAGTGGGTAATTTGGAACAGAGTCAAGACTTCAGTGTAAATATTATCCCAAGTAGTATTTTAATCAGCAGGCCAAACACCCATTCCCCACCTACACAATTTTTTGCTAAAACATTAAAAGCTCTCTGATTTTCAGTTATAAATGTACATGGCAAGGCAAATAGGAAAACTAACATTTATTTAGTACTGTTTCACTTAATATATCAGGAAGGGCTGGCACTGTGGCTCAGTGGGTTAAGCCACCATTTGCAAGACCAGTATCCCACGTCAGAGTAATAGTTCAACTCCTGGCTACTCCACTTCTGATCTAGTTTCCTGTTTATGAGCCTGGGAAGGCAAAAGATGAGCCAAGTGTGGTGACCCTGCAAGCCATGTGGGAGGGTAGGCTGGAGTTCTTGGATCCTGGCTTCAGCTTAGCCCAGTCCCAGCCATTGCAGCCATCTGGGGAATGAACTAGCAGATGGAAAACAGATCTCTCTCTCAGTCTTTCTCTCTCTGTCACTCTGCCTTTCAAATAAATAAATATTTGAAAGTCAGGAATATTGAGTTTTATTTGAAAAATGCTTACCAAAGGCAATTTGAGCAATGTTTGCCTTTTTATTTGTCATACAACAATATTTTTCCTATGTTTTGGCAATCTTAATACTGTTTTATAATAAATGTGAATCAGCTTTTATCATTTTTTAAAAAATGATTTATTTATTTATTTGAAAGGCAGAGTTACAGAGAGGCAGAGGCAGAGAGAGAGAGAGATATCTTCCATCCACTGGTTCACTCCCCAGTTGGCTGCAATGGCCGGGGCTGCGCCATCCAAAGCCAGGAGCCAGGAGCTTCCTCTGGGTCTCCCACGTGAGTGCAGGGGCCCAAGGATTTGGGCCATCTTGTACTGCTTTCCCAGGCCATAGCAGAGAGCTGGATCAGAAGAGGAGTAGCCGGGACTCCAACCGGTGTCCATATGGGATTCCGGCACTGTAGGCAGAGGCTTAGCCCACTACACCACAGTGCCGGCCCCTCCATTGCAATTTTTAATGCCATTAAGTATCCCCAACATTTTTATAATGTGAGCATTTTGTGGGTATCACTTCCCATGAACTCGCTCATTCTTTCCTCCTAAACACTTTGCTCTTTCATATTAAGCTCCCCTTGGACCACCCCCTGCAGCTGCAGATCCAGTGACGGTGTCAACTCCTCCCTCCCTGCTAAGCTACTTCCTGTATCACTCCCTTAGCATTCAATTTGCGTTTCACTCCTACCAGTATCATTTGTGGTTCACTGGCTGAACTTGCATTTTGCTGGGGAATTCCCTCCTTTGATTTCTTTCTTTCTTTTCTTTTTTCTTTTTTTTTTTTTTGTAAACTAGCACATGGGTTAAATATGACTGGGAGACAACCCAAAGTACCTGCTCTCTACCTACAGGTGAACTGAGTGCTGCGTGCACAGTGGCCAATCGCCCCCAGGCTCAGAGCAAACATAACAGGTCACTGAATACCTGTGCTTCTCTAGGGTAGGCAGTGATCTGTGGCCTGAGGAGCTGGCAGTGAAGCTTAGGATTCATACTATGAACTGTGAAATTTGAACCCTGTTGTGGAGGCAGGGGTGTTACTTAACATGACCACGGTAAACAAAATCCAAATATGGTGAGGCCTGCCTGTGCCTGCGTACAATCTAGTAGCTGTGTAGTTTTTTTTTTTTTTTTTTTAAGATTTGTTTATTTGAAAGGCAGACACACACACACACAGAAAGAGAGAGAGAGAGAGCGCGCGAATGAGCAGGATACAGAGAGATATTCCAGCCACTTTCCAGTCACCTGATCATTCCTCAAATGGCTACAACAGCCAGGGCTGACCCAGGCTAAGGCCAGGAGCCAGAAACTCCATCCGTGCCTCCTACATGGGTGAAGGGACCCACAGGCTATCTGCCTCTGCTTTCCCCATGCATTAGCAGAAAGCTGGGTTGGGAATCAAAGCAGCCAGGAGTAGAACCTCTAGTAGTGTTTAAGAGAAACACAGAACTGAAGATTCAACTAAGTGGTTTAAAGCCAGGATTTGCCACTTCCCACCTGATGGCACTAGTAAAACTAGCCGTCTCTCAGTCAGGCTCATCATCACATAAAGACCTTTTGCACACAGCACCAGGCAGGTGGCTTCCTGGCCAAGTGAGGAGGCATAGTGGTGCCTAGGGCTCCAGAATAGACCCTAAGTTTTCCACAGCCAATTCAAAAATTATTTTTATTTTATTTTTTATTTTTAAAGATTTAGTTATTTATTTGAAAAGCAGAGAGAGAGAATCTTCCATCCACTGGTTTATTCCCCCAAAACACACAAATGGCCACAATGACTGGGGCTGGGCCAGGCCGA